ACTCAACAGTTTATTGCGTTCTTGAGGTATTTTTTATATCACCTCTACTGACAACACGTAAGCGATTATTGTTTGAAAACTCATCTATGGCGATTACTTTGTCGGTAGAGTTTACAACACCGCAGTCTTTTATTTAGAGATGGAGATTTAATTTTACCTTAAAAACAGAATCTTAGTGCAAGTAGTTTCGGTAAAATATATCTGTACCTAATGATTATATTTAATGAAGTGAAATATAAATAATTAATTTAAGGTACTTCTTTAATTCAAAGAACTTAGAGCACTATAAGTTATGTTTATTAACAAAAATTTAATATAAATTAGCGTATCAAATGCATATTACTTTTACTTATTAGCAAGCAGGTTTGTCTTTTGCTACTTGCTACTAATAAAAAAATATATAAAAAGATGTGTAACGTTATTGTTTAGAAAAAAAAGCGCAAGAAAAACAAATCTTATCTAATCTATTATTTGTCTATAGTACCTTTTTTTCACTCGGGGATTTTTTTACCTTTTTACCACCAAACCCCCCGTTGGAGAAACGCAGGGCGTGTGTATCTCGGAGAACCGGCCTAATCACTAAACACGCGGCGGCCTACCTTGGCAGTCGGGAGAAGCTCCAGGAACGCATCGGCTTCTTCTGCTTATCTAGAGTACCTACTAGCTATATTTATATGGGACTAACACGACCGACTATAGAAAATACCCTCTCCAAAACTACTCTTGAAAGGGAGATAGTGCTCGGATAATCGTAAGCAAAGAACTGACTTTCCACTAGACGGACCTGTTTTAATGACCGAACCTTCTTTGACCTACTAACTACTAATTCCTCAAGCACAGGCTTCATCAAAATCAATCAAAATGCCGTGGTAATACTGTAACACGGAATGTTAGATTGCAAGCACAGCAAGCAAGTTAGAATTAGAAGTTGAAGAGAATGACTACGTACTAAAAACAAAGAAAAATCTCTAAACACAACTTAGTCGTCACTTGTATAAATTTATGCTGAATGATTTATATAAGTAGCACAAAAAAGGACGTAATATTTGATAGGTGTTTTTATACACATAAGTCTCGGATATGCATAGGTTTACTAGTTACTCATTTCACGAATTGCATCACAAACTTTGGATGATAAATAACAGACAAATATTTACCCAGATGTATAAAGACACAAACAAACACAATATTAACCAACACAATACCCAATATTACCAGTTTATTAATAATAATATACTTAACAATAGCGGTACCAATGCAAATAGTTATAGACATACGCTTCAGCTAAGTTCTAAATACGATTTAACTACATACCTGTACGCGGAAGTAAGGGTGTGTTCAAAAAAGGATAAACACAAAACTGCTTATAATAAACAAAATTTAGCCGTGCCAAACACAAAATCTGTTTAAGCGAATTTTAAGTGCAGCGGTAAAACATTATGGACAGTTGTAATCGTTGTGTTTATAGCGTCCAAGATTAGACCAAAATAGATGATACCTATTACTGCTTTGTTAGAACCTCCTTAAAAAATCATTCGCTTCCCGGACCGGGCAAATTTTTTTAAGCTTTTTCTTAGAGAAAAAATAGCCTAAGTTACTCCTTATATAGACAGCTACATGGTAGTAAAATATTATCCAAATCGTTCAAGCTTTGAAGATTACCCGGAACAGACAGGCAGACAGATAGACAGGCAGACATACATGTTCAAACTGGTTTTAGGCATTGGTATCGTCTAAATAACTGTGTGAGCATGAAAAAAACTTATTATTTTGACACATTACAAACAGACACTTTAATTATATTTATTTGTACAGATAATCATAATATAAATATAAATATTTTCGAGTTGTAAAACCTGCCCTGACAAAAACAACAACATTTCCGGTTTAACAGTGTTTACACACTCATGAGAGCATGCTATACTGTGTGTAATGGAGTAGGTACATTTCACGTAATAATAACTGGCATGAATTTAAAGATTCAGTCATCACGCTGCTCGAAATGTTGGATGAGTTATGCTCGAGAACCATCATACAAATGAGTTGTATTTTATGCAGATGATTTGTCGTGAAACTTTTATGTGCAAGATGTAAGACTCTTACGTTTTACATTATGTATACAATGTAAAATCTTGTTGGACGTCCGATATACTTTACGAGAGGTCGGGTAAAGATACGGTCGTTAACGTAAAATTTTGTGTAAAGCGAACTTATCTAGCCTGACAGGTTTCGTAGCACAGCGCAACTATATTGCAGAGAAAATCTTCAATCCTAAGACGCTCATATACACACATTTATTGATTGGTGTTAGTCCTTTAGTCTAGACCTGTTTATTATTGTTGCCGGTCTAAATAAAGCACCCCTATTTAGAAAAAAGGTAGTCAAAATTGTTTTTTTCAAGAAGTTCCATGAAAACAGTTTCCACATGGTACTGATGTAACATTAAAAATACGATTTTTGTTCCATTTGTTCCATGTAATTGTATACTACTTTTACAGCTAAAATTGATTGGTTTTTTTCTGAAAAAACAATTAATGACTATTTATTTTATTGATATAAAACAAATATGAGAAAGGTAATGTTGTACATGGAAAAAAATTATTACAGGGGGTATTCGTAGATGAAATAGCAGCCAGCAATTGAAGTTTTTATAAAATTGTCGGTATTCTTGCTGCTAGGGATACGAATCTTAAATTAAAATATTCTTCTAAAAGTGATGACGATGAGATACGGGTTTCATTAATCGCACTCAAAACAGGTAGGTAGAAAGGTAGAAAAAATTATAACTGACACATGCCGCCCTGAGTGTGGCCGCGGGTGGACGGGACGGGTTTTAATCCAGCATAACATAATAACATCCAGCCAAGAGGAAAATGAACTAAATAGATAAATAAATATAGAATGAACCCAAAGGTGGCCCGCGCCATTGTGGGCAGGCGCTAGGAGGGGTCCCATAATAACAGCAGTTCCCGGATCCCTCCTATTACAAACGTAGTAGCACACCGTGTAGTTTTAGTCGGTCCGATTCCGACACAACACCTCGCCGCAAACCCCGGAGGGCTGACAGAGCGAGGGGGTTTCCACACGTAAAAAAAAGGGTTTGTTTTATTGCTGCCAATCAGGCACTTTGATAATAAAAAATAGAAAAGTTGCGATTATATTAGAAGGGGACATCTAGGTAAGTAATGTTAAAATAAAGGGCGAGAATACCATTTGTAGCGATGGATTCGGGAATGAAAGCAATAAATAGCTTGAGAAAGTCAAGATTACATAGATTTGTTGCTTTGTGTATATGCAAAGTTTACAGATTACTGTAATTAATTGCTGTAATTATTTTGTAGAAAGCCACCTTTATGTTTGGTTAAATGTTTAGGGTGGTAAAGAAAAAAAAACGCGAAACCAGAGTAAAACATTTTTATTGAGCTCTAAGCACAAACATTTTTTAAACTAAAGCATTACTTGTTAATTTTGTTATATAAAACTGTTATAATTTCGTCTGCTTTAAGTATCTAAAAATCAGCCTATATAATTTAATAAAAATGATATCGCCTAATTGTGTTAAGTATTTTTAGATACTAAATTATATCCTGAAGGATGAATAATATAAGTTTATCAGACTCCGAAAACGCTTAGTTATGCTTATAATAAAGTTAATCTCAATCTACAGATGCATATGTAATAAAAACATTATCTCGGTCTTCCTAATTATTACCTATATACCTACTATAGTTTTTGTTTCATATACCATATGTTAACGAAAACGTAAAGATTACAAAAACAAACACAAAAATTATAATTACATTTAAATTATAAAATAAATAAAAAAGAAATACTTTTATCTGGTATTTATTAAAACTTTAATAAATTCTAATTTAACTTAAATAAAAACAAATAAAAAAGAGAATTTCATCCATCATTAAAATGTATACTCATTATAATTTAAAACGCAGTACATGTAGAAAGTAATACTTGTCTTTAAGGATTTATTCTTTTTACATGATTAAAATTATTATTGGCTTCTGTACAGTAGAAAAACTGTTTAGATTATTATTTATATAAAAAAATTGCGAAAATCTCTTTATGGCAAGATCATAAGCATGGCACAAACTTAGACATGGCACTGGCACTAAATAAGATTCAATACTTACTGGTGTTTAAAAAATAATTTCGTTTCGACGCTTTACTAATTCTTACTGAAATAATAAAATATTAAAATCTATAGCAAAAATATAAAGAAGTGATTTAGTCAGTTAAAAGAATTAAAAATCTCCATCATTAAGATCCTATCAGGATAGTAACTCACATTAATTTTAAGAAAACTAAAATAATTTACGCTTATCACCAAACGTCTTAACGAGTAAACAACATGGCAGTTTAGCATATCCATTAATTTACGCATTTATTTCTATTATATAATTAAAACGCATTGAAATGCCTACTGGTCTGTAAAATTTTAGTCCATTTTGCTGGTAGTTACAGTCTTACAATTTTCAAAATTAAAATACTTTTGTGGTGAGGTATTATCACTGGTAACCGGTTACTTACAACACTTATAATTTAAAAGTAGTTTGTAAATTGTAAAGTCAATATCGAACATCAATATTGAGCATTCATAAAACTTGGATATGTTAATAAATAAATAAATATTTATAAAAATCAACAAAAACATTCGTTATATACGTACTTACGTAATAGATTATATTACAAAAAATGTAGTATTCTTGTTGACCAATCTAAGCTAAGCACTTTATGGTAACAGTGGGTTACGGAATGGACTCGTTTTAACAGAAGCAGGTACGGCTTAACGCTAAGTATTCCACGAAAGCGTTTTATGACGACTAAGTTTAATTTGCTACATCCCCTTATGAAGCTCCCGTAACCGTACAATACGAGTCGATTTTACCTAAAATTATTTCCATTGCCACTACGCAAAGCAGCAGTAACTAAATCATAAGCGATTTTTTTTTTTTCATTACTATTTGGAATTTCTCGTGCGTAATTCAAAGCTCCTCATTTACCCTGAGGGTCAAATTTAACTTGCTTTTAGTGGCTTGTGTGGCCTCATCTTTGCCCTCAACAGTGCCGCAAATCTCATTAAAGTTACAATTGTGGATAGAGTCCTGAAAGTAATTGGTCAATTTTTTCAATGGGCATAGATCTTCAGAGCACATAGGCAGTCTAACTATTTTTTCTTGGTGTAGAGTCAATACACGGTCGCCACCTTTACACCTGCAAAACATAAAATGCATTATAAGTTTTTAACGTTTAACACATTATAGTACAGGTAGAAAATACTCAATATTATAAATATTATTATAACCTTATTGATTCCTCTTAAAATATTATTTTTATTTTATCAATGTTATATCTAATCACTTTATGAAATAATATTTGTGAAAGGAGATTTTTGGATTAACAGAATAATATTTACTTAAATGTAAAAGTAAGTACATTTGAAATGTCTGTTTATGTTGTAATAAATAATGTCTTAATTAGACAAATTAAAACAATGTTAATGATACCTAGGGGTACCTATTTATTGGTTAATGTAAAGAAATAAATAATAATTTCATTTAGTCAATGTTACGTGAAGAAAGTTTTGCACTTAAAAACATTATCGTGTAATGTATATTCTAATTTTTTCTACATTACAGTACAGGTTGAAACGGATAAGTCTACCAATGGAATACTATAGATACGATACTATTCTGTTATATTGTTAACACCATATTAAATGTTTTTCATTAGGATTTGTCTACAAAATAAATTAAAATTCGAAACTCGAAGGCATTATTTTGAAACAGTAACACGATTTGTGTTAATTGGTTTTGTATAGACAAAGGGAATATTGACCTATATCTCGATTTACTGCTTTTAACTTTCCAGTTTGTTCCAAATGATACAAGCCATTCTGCAATAAAATTGTATTGGTTTTGTTACGACCCAATGACTCACATAGACGAGAAATACAATAAGAAAATCAGATTGAAAAGCAACCATGACCCGATTGGTTTATATAATCCAAATGCCTGATCTGTTTTTCTTAACTTTAAATCTGTTGAACTGATTGAAATCATTATTCGGACTTGGTTTATTAGTTACAAGCAACATTTTATCTAATCTTTAAATCTTAGATCATTGATGTCTAGAGAGACTGTGAAAACGTTGAAAAAATTATTGACCTAATTTTTGCTACTATGTACACACACTAATAAAGATTAATGGAGTTTTGCGGGTGTATAACGTAGCTGTCACGCACATCAACATAATGAAGCCGCCCCGTTTGTTTCAGTTATTTTGTAGTACGACACTCCATTTAGACATATTAATGATCTAAGTTTTAAATATGCTACTTAATTATATGTGGGTATACGAAAACATAGTCGCATATAATTCAAAGGCTTGCTTGTTTTTTTAACTTACTTAAACAGAACAAAGGCTAAATTAGCGGCAAAACTATCGATATCCGAAGTCCTCCACTGTCTATCGTTCACCATATTCGAGCCTGTGAGTGGCGCTTCTGGCTTATACAGCCCCAAATGCGCTAAAATCTTTACAAGTGTACCGGAATGTGTAAATAGGAATGTTGCACGGGGGCGGTTTTCTTTGCTACAATAAAGAAAAACATAAAATATTAAAACCGAACGAAAATTTTCGTCACATTTTCATACTTCTATTTACAGGACATTCAACACACATCACTAACAGTCGACAATAAACACAATGATATATTTATTTCTCTACAAATCTAGACCGGCCTGGACATGCATGATTACGACTATTATACACCTTCCTACAGCGGTATGGTGTCCTGCCCTAAATTGTTAATGCTAGTTAACCTATTTTAATAGCAGCTATCGCTCCCCAGTCAACAGATTGCGGTTCCATCCACCACTATTATAAATGCATTCCCAGTCTGCTAGCCAAAGAAGAAAGCGAGTGGGCAGTGACCTTTTCCTTCTGGATATTTGTTGTTGTGAATTCAACCATTAAAGCAACTGAATAGCTTACAGGTGAAATCTGGGGCGGTGTACAATGAGAATCTTGTGTCATCTAGGGTGAATTCGTTGCGGCAATTCTGCCATACATATTATATGCATAATGTTTTTGTGTTTAACAGGGTGTACGACAATTTCACTATTCTTTGTCATGTACTTTGCTAAGGAGGGAAGTGGATTTATTATATTTGCAACTACTCCAATATGCTTCTTTTTAATTTCGTTGTGGATTCCAACACATTTTAACTTTTCCTGGGACATCCCGCGCTTCATTACTAGGTGTGTTGATGACCCACTACTATTAATCCTGGTGTACAAGAGTTACATTAATGGCCGTGAGTAATAGTTGTTTAATGGGATTAACCGGACAGATTAGTTGTTTAATTGGACTAACCTCCCCGGTTGGTTCTATTAAACAACTTTTACTCATGTAGAATCGCTAATAAAAAATTACATTCTCAAATAAAACTTACGTCAAACTATTGAACATGTGTCTCATAGAGACGCACCCCTGGCGATATGTCAATTCATTCGCGTAACCATCCAACCAATACGAACGTAAATCATGGTAGTATTCCAGAACCTGAAATATTATAAAAGAATTACACAAAACTAATGTTAAGAAAGGAGTACTTCATATTTTAGGGTAGTACTTGTGGTAGATTCCATGTGTATAACAAACCTATCGTGAAAACAATTTGACGAAAATATATTTTTAAGAGAACTTATTTTGACCTATTTTATTTTAGTTCTCATATTTTTAACGATAGATATGCAATTATTAATAAAATAAGAAAAAAGGAAAAAGAAGAAAAACTAGACAAAGAGAAGAAAAAGAAGGAAAACTTGACACAAACCCTATACCAAGCCGTCTGGCCAGCGTGGTATAGTAGGCCAAAACCTCCTTTCTAAGGAGAGGCCTATGTCCAGCAGTGGACTGTTAAAGGCTGTTGATGATGATGATGATGAATAAAATAAATAAGTATTTAAAACCAAGAGTGTTGATGGGATAGTTCGGTTGCAGAATGTACAATGTTCATCTGGCAAGTGCCAAAACGGAACTGCTTGCGTTGTAGTAGTTGAACCAATACCACTAGCTATATCCATTTCTACTTCGAGCCGAATCTCACCACGTGGAGGTCATAAAAAATCTCCTCTGGTAATCAAGGACGCCCGCTTAGTTATGAAATAGACCAATTGCGAATTGGACCCATTGAGAATTGGACATAATGCGCCCCAACGGATGGAATGTCATAAAAAATCAATAAAAGTAATATTAAAGTGATTAATAAGTCGTTTAGAAAAGTCAACTTGAACCTCGACCCTAAAAAGCTTATTTCAAAGATATATTTTTTTATTCCATTTTATTTTCATGCAAGTAATAATTTTATAAATATTACCCAACCTTTCTGGTAAGTACCTTCCTGTAGTTACACATAAACTAACCTTAATACTCTTATCATCAAATGCATTACACCACACTGATATGTGTCGTTTGTGCCATGCTGTCTCATATCCACATAACTTGTAAATGGTATTCACCATTTCTGTAAATCACACAATACACATTAGTTTACTTATAAGGATAAAATATAGAGATCTGTCGTTTTAATAAACCGCATTACAGCAAAAATAGTTTCAGAGGCGCATTATTGCTAAGCAGTTGTAATAGCATTTTCCGTTTATTCTCAATACAGAAACACCATCAAGTGCGTAGGTAATACACAGCAAAGAAATATTAGTACTTTTAGACAGAATAAGCAGGTACTGCATCCCATAACAACAATATTATACAAACTAGCCTACATGAAGCGAAAACCTATAGAATTATATATTGTTGCGCCACAGGACTAAATGGTTCTTGTATTGTATAGTTAGTTCATGAACAATCGAGTCGTATGGAATCTGGAGGACAGCGCCAACTAATATCAAATAAAGCAATCCGAACACACAATCGATTCCTAATTCCAATAACTGCTGCGCCATCTAGTGTCAAATATCGGAAGGAATAATAGAACTCTGTAGATTCCTTAATATACGTGGGTCTGTCTGGTACGTTCTATCAGATCCTCGGGATTACTCTAGTAATTTCGGCGGCCCTAAATAAGCGAAGCGTGTTGGCCGTACAACACAGTATTGTTTTATGAAACAGCGAAGCGATATTCTCGTGCGACTAAGGAGCTATTTAGTGAAGTTATTGTTTGTAAGTGTGTGTTTATAAGTACAGTGCTAATTTTGGTACTTATCGCCTACATTTATTTGACTTATTCCCGGCTCATAACAATATTTTTGGTAGTAACTACTGAATAGTTTTCTTACTAAGGTTTGATATATTTTGCTACTATCTGCTAAATTAGGTTAAGACTTCAGCGAACCTCACCTGTCTGCCATGAACCCCCCAACAAAGAAACGTTACTCACAATATAAATGATGGCTGTTGAACAGGTTTTCAAGATCAAGACGCTAAGATAAAACACGGACAAGCACAATAGTTTTATCTCGCCATATGTGATAGGGATCATCCTAATGTGCAATATGATCCGAAAACAGTCTCTTTCGCTCATAATCTACGTTTGACTTGTTTTGATCGTTTGAATGAGCCAATCTTAACAATATAGGTCCAAGATATTGACGAAATAAAGATGATAAAGTTGACATGTAACGCTAAACGGTTAGAATTTTTTATTAATTATAATATGTAAGGCCAGTTGTAGTTTACTCTTAGAAACTTATCTAGCTGGACATAAGTGTACATTGATAAGCGATAGCTTAACTTAATATTAATAGTACTAAAAGAGACGCCATATAAGTGTGTCGTAAAAGATTACATTATAGAAATGAGGGTAAATCATCGAGAGGCTCGTGGCTAAGTGGTAACCGAGTAGGTTAGCACATTGCAAAGTTGAGCAATCTTAGCCAGGTCAGCCTATGAATGGGTGACTATTCTTAACACATTGAGACCCCTCCATGCCTCGGAATGCACGTTACGCCGTCGATTCCGGCTGCCATACGAACATCTGTGGTAATCGTTACTGGTAGTTGGAGCCCTAAAAATTCAAACACCAGTCTTTCTACAGAACTTCGATATCGTCTAGTACTTGGGTCGTATCGTAGTAGACTTAAAAGCCGACCACAACCTGGTTTGAGGACAAGGCTCGGAGGAAGGAGGTAAATCATAGGTTGTTAATAAATAACAATAAAAAGTAACTGAATATAAGAAAGCCCGATGGAATGTCATTTTGTTATAGTTTAAGTTGGGCTAAGTTCGGCTACCTTTTAATATTTTCCAAACCGTTCATTTAATTTTAAACTTTTGTCACTCAAATCTTTTGCCTTTTAAAACTACTTTAAGAACCTCTTCATTACTATAACAACTTGTGAACTCTGGACTTAAATATGGATTATTTATTTGATAATATTTCGGACATCTAACAAACAACGCCATCTAGTTCCAAACTAAGCAGAGCTTGTACTATAAAAGCTGGATTGACTTATAGAATACTTATGTACTTTTTTTCGTAAATACATACATATTATACATAGAAAACACCCAAACTTCGAGACAAATATTTGCAGATCATACAAACATATGGTCCGCCCCAGGAATCGAACCCGAGACCTCAGCACAGTAGTCGCATACGCTACTACTGCACCACCGAGGCAGTCAGAGCTTGTCAGTTAAAGCACCAACCACCACTAACACAGAGTCATCTAAAGCTAGAGGCTTTAAATTACACAATTTATGCAAGTATGCTAAGTTATTCAGTAGAAAGTCGTTCCTAAAATGTAATTTTTTACTAAATAATATGTCTTCTATGGAAGCTAGGTAACTAATCTAAGTTTTCGCAGCATATATAACGCGGCTGACATACGATAAACGTTTTCGTGCTGCAATTTATCAAAATAAATGTATGTAATATAATATTTAAATATTGTAATTTACATTTTGAAAACTTGTACTACACAAGTAAAAATAGATTTTAATCTCACTCAATTTCAATCTTTTTCACCATTACAGTATACCTACGAATATGTAAGTGTAAAAAATATGTATGAAACAATTATACAGGTTACCAACTAAAATAAAACAGAAGATACAATACACTAATAAATAGGTGAAATATGAAAATGCAGTGTGACAATGCAGCAAAAAAAGCAAGTTGTAGCATAAACAGCAGAACAGGTATTGTCGTACAAACCCAATGTGAGTACATTTGTAAGACCTAGTCTTTTAGACACATACTCCAAGGTCTCATTCATTTCCCGACTAATACCAAACAAGTTGTATTCCTTGTAAGTTTCTGGATTTTTCTTAACTTGCTTTTGCCACTTATCACAGTATTTGTAAAACTGAAAAATTGCAACTAAGTATAGAGGAAGGAAGCTAACAGTTAAAAATTCATAATAATTTGTAGACATATAAAGAACAAAAACAATATAATTATATAATAAATAAATAAAAATTACCCTCAAAACTTTGTCGATTTTGTGGGCGGGAGGAAATACGATTCTTTTCACATCTTTTTCACCAAATAATCCAGTTGCAAAATATCTTGCACTCTGCTGAGCTCTCTGTGTGGCTGTGTAACGGAACTGAAATGAAACAACATAATGAATTTTAGCACTACAAATCATAACTTGCAAGTCAGTCTTGAAAAATAAGTCTAGCCTTATCTGATATTTAGTCTCTTTGGTTTTATACTTAAATACTGCAACATTAAATTGCATCTAATTTTGTCCTGCCATGAACAAATTTAAGAATGATTCAAGAAAGATTTAGCAAGTTTATTAGTTTTCATTTCATATAGTAAAATTTCGTAATTACAGCAACATAAAATAGTACTTACATCACAAAATAGCTTATTGTAAATAATGATCATAAAATTTATACATTAATTGGTGAAATTAATCATAACTTTTTTTAACCAACCATTTAAAATTTACAATCTAATATTTAATTATATATAAATCTTCATTAATTGACTTTAATCCATATTATTTTAGATATGCAATACTATAAATATTAAAAAGGACCTACTAAAATTGTCTTATTATCATATGATTGCTTCATTGCATGAGGAAATCTTCTCTGCATTCTCTCAGCTAACTGTATCATTTCATTTTGGCCTTCCAGCGTCAAAAATTTATCACGTTCAAGAGGAATATCATTATACCAGTCTTCCATTTGCTTTAATTGTTTCATACTTAATTGACCTGTAAGGCAATATTACTAATTATTTGTGTTTTTAAGTCAACAATTGCAACTTGCTTGCTTAATATTTACAAAAATAATATTAATGACACTACTTTCTTTTATTTTATGATAAGTTGACATGCATTTCCTAAAATGGAATGGAAACTTGCATATAATATTGTCTTAATTGACTTGCATAAAAAAATATTTCTTTCCCAAACTTAATTTATTTTGAATATCATTCAATTATATAAATTGTTGTACTATAATTGTTATTTAAAGTTATTGACTGTATAATGCTTTGTTTTAAATAAGTTTAAGTAAGTTAACATTAAAGGGCTTTGGTTAAACAACTGTAACCTTACTTGTTATAAACAAATAAATAAATAATGAAACCAATATTGTGCTGTACATAATAAATAAGTAGTCTTTATATTAGGTAATAACTATTGTGTTCCAAAAACTATAAAGTTAAAATTAAAATATAATAGGGGTTCTTATTCTCTTTACAAACAAGACTTACCTTTTCCATTACTGTGCTGCAATAATATCTCCTGCTTTATTTTTGTAAGATTTTGAGCTTTCATTATGTCTTTAACACCAGGAAGACGTGTGCCATGGCGAATCACCATCCAGATTTTATGGTCTCTGCAATCTAAGCAAAATAATTAATAATATTCTAAGAACATGTATGGTCACAACGTTGTTATACCTATTAAATAATTAGGTAATAATTTTACTTACTTTCATAAATAACTCGAGAGTCATTTTTATTATACTTAAACCTGTACGGAGTGCGTGAACCCAAATGATTTTCAATACCGAAGTCGTTTGATTTTATAAAAGCTGCAACCTGAATATCACTGAGATAAACTAAGGCTACCAAAAATGTTGTAACAAACACTGTCATAATTGTAGATTTGAATTAAATAACTGAAAACTTAAAAGCTTTCATTTATAACTTTAATTTCTATCACATTACAATTTTGGGCTAAAATTTCCTTTTCCGTACATCGATTTTGGGGCTGAAATTTTTTTTCAGGATATATTACACTATTATAAGCACACACGTAAAAGTTTCAACACGCGGAGACGCATAATTTTTGAACAAAAAAATATTGAAAATCAATTATTTTTGCAATTCTTCTGTCAATATTACACTATTAATGACAAGCTTTACCAAAGATTATATAAAATTCTCATCACGAAACGTTTTGTTTCATCTATGGTTAAGTTGTCATACGTTCCGTAACATTTTATTTTACATAAATTTACGTAAATAATTATATTTTGTACTCATTTAAATAGTTTTCATGCACACGTATATTTAGGAGTTTATATATATTAAATTACAGCATTATTTTCATTACAAGCTATTAAAATGTGTAGTGTTTACCGTCTTTAGCCGACTTGTGGAACGAAACGTAAAACTCCGTCCTGCAACGAGTTGTCATACGTTCAGGAACATTTTATTTGTCTGTCAGCCGAAGCTGCGGAGGCGAGGACGGATGCCTACGATTTGTTACGCAAGGGCGTAGAGGCTGCATTTCCCGCAGCGCCGGAGACGTTTCAGAAAGGATTTTTAAGTTTACACATTTTATTTTTAATTTTAATAGCTTGTAATGAAAGTAATGCAGTAATTTCATATATAAAAACTTTTAAATATGTGTGCATGAAAACTATTGAAATGAGTACAAAATTTAATTATTTACGTAAATTTATGTAAAATAAAATGTTACGGAACGTATGACAACTTAACCATAGATGAAACGAAACGTTCCGTGATGAGAATTTTATATAATCTATGGTAAAGCTTGTCATTAATAGTGTAATATTGACAGAAGAATTGCAAAAATAATTGATTTTCAATATTTTTTTGTTCAAAAACTACGCGTCTCCGCGTGTTGAAACTTTTACGTGTGTGCTTATAATAGTGTAATATATCCTGAAAAAAAATTTCAGCCCCAAACTCGATGTACGGAAAAGGAAAGTTGAGCCCAATTTTGCGTGTTTACTTTGACGTGGTGTTCACAACAACTGAATGTTATTGTCAAGTCAATAGCATTATACGTCAGACGTGCTAGGTCAGCACAGTGTATGTGATTTTTATTTCGACGTTTATACATATTATTATATGGCTACAGATTAATCCTAATACGCTGTGAATAAAATAAGTATCTGAGATTAATAAAAGAAATAAATCCGAACTTATTAATCCTTTTATCGCCTCGATAATAAATAATGAATTGTTTTCACCTACCACATACCTTTTACCTGAAAGAAAAGTTTTATTTTGTAACTTGCGTGTTTTAATTTCTTACATAAAATAATTTTTTCAGCTTTTTGCTTTACTGTAGTCCTCGGGTAGACTTGTAATTAATTTTTGCAGCTAAATCAGCTTCGATGGAAAACATAGCTAAAGTACACCTAAAAAATGCCTAATCAGTAGTAGCCCAGGGCCCTACAAATTCACAATACGCCATTGCTCATAGCTATTAACGCCTGAAAAGTCGCGGTTGCGGTTTTTAAAGGTAGTAACAATGACCTCGGAGTCGCACTTAAGATCGGGCTTCACAAATATACTTCAAGCGTAAATGTGATCAAATTAATTAGGTAGTCATCTATGTTAAACTCTTTTTGCATCGCACTTGAAGGAGCCTCGCGAGCCCCAAGTGCGAGGCCGTGGGCGACGGCCCACTTCGCCCACGCCTAGCTACGCCACTGCCAGTAATCCCCGGAAGGTCATAAATTCATGATAAAATATTATAAAGCTGAAGAGTTTGTTTGTTTGTTTGTTTGAACGCGCTAATCTCAGGAACTACTGGTCCGATTTGAAAAATTCTTTCAGTGTTAGATAGCCCATTTAACGAGGAAGGCTATATATCATCACGCTAAGACCAATAGGAGCGGAGCACCAATGAAGAATGTTTCAAAAACGGAGAAAATTTATTACTATTGAGAGACGCAGACGAAGTTGCGCGGGTCAGCTAGTTCATGATAATGTAAAAATCTAAGTAAGTATCTTTATTTAATAGAAGCAATATCGAAGTCCTCAGCTTGCTTATTGTTTTCGTTGGTTTCGGAGATAGAATGACGGACTGCGCTTAAGCGAATCCAAAACCAATGAAAAGTGCCAATTGGTTCTTTTCTGTCTGTCGCTGGTTCAAATAACGATTATGAACATTATAAATTGTTTTGTTTCATCCCGAATCCCGATTTCCCTACACACGTATACACACACACACATACACCCTGTCACATAGACCAGTTATACGCACACATGACACCACCACCCACTGCCACATTACTACCCCGCAATTATATGTATATCTTTTTTAATTATTAGCAATAAACAATATTTCTCGGGAAAACGTCATTTCAGATTGGGGCCGTCTAAATCTAGTCTAGTTCAACCCAAAAAAGACGTAGGTCTGTACGTTCACCGCAATGAAGATACCATTTGTCGTGTCACCTTGGTTTGAGAGCACCTCTCTAACAGCCTCAGCCAGCTTTGGAATTTTAGGCATCTATATATCGAGCGAAGCCCAGTTTCGGGGTCACTTAGAGGGTAAGGTAAATTTTGCCTCCAAGAAGCTCGGTGTGCTGAACAGATCAAGCTAGTATTTCACTCCGCCACACCGCCCACTGTTCTCATCTCTATGCAGGAAAACCTTGCTAGTCCTTCAAGGAAAGAGAGTTGCAGACGTTCATTGATGGCGATGGTCACTTTCCATCAGGTGACCCGTCTGCTTGTATAAATCGACCTCTAACATAAAAAAATAAATAAACTGTAAACAGCAACCTTATGTACCTACAAACGGTACTGTCTACCTTTTGTGCGACTGAACACTGTCTCCCAAGATACAGGCTTCCGGCCTAGTTTGGGAGTCAGTATCAGTAAAAATGTAATAGATAACCATAGTCTGTGCCTAACTTTAATACTTATGTAGTTTCAGTCACATTCCTGATCGGAGATATACTGAATCACTTATCTTAACTCTCACTTTTCTAACCCTAATTTAGCTTCTTTTTTAGTATAAAATTAAAACTAGTAAATGTATTAATAAAATAACAAGACTATTATAGAGATTATATATAATTTTATTCTACTCGTAATAAAATATTTGATTCTTGTAATGTAGCTTTTAGTGTAAATGGTGAAGTTAAGCTTTCTACATTAAATGTTTCTGTTGCAAACTCTTCACTGTCTGGATTGTCATGCAAAGTGAAACTTATGCTTTTCATATCCCCTATGTCAATGCTTTGTACATGCTGTGAATAGGGTGCAGTGCCTTCCTTGAAAAGCTGCACAGTCTGGTCTAAATATTTTAAATAAATATCTTTTCCTAGGAATTCAACCTCAGTGTTCATGTCTTTGAGAGAAAATTCTGGTATGTCTAAGAGCAATCCTGCTTCTCTAGAACATCCCGCTGCAATGACTTCATCTGGGTTGATACCCGATAATATTTCAGCTTCAGGTAGTAAGTTTGAAATGGCGGCTTGTAATTTTGGTATCTTCATGCTTCCACCACAAATAACAATTTTGTGAATGGGTCCACCAAAACTTTCAATAACTTTCTGAGCAGGCTCTAAGTACGCTGATATTTTTGATGAAATGACATTCTCAAATCTTGCTCGGGATACATTCTGACTCCAATCAACACCATCCAAGAGTGATTCAATAAATACATGTGCAGAGTTCAGTGTAGATAGAACATGTTTGCAATTATCAGCATGTATAAGCAATTTAGCCATAGCTCTTCTACTCTCCTGTGGGTCCAGTTTCCATTTTTGTCTAAACTCCTGAGCAATAAAGTCAGCCAAGTCTTTTGTGAGACACTGCCCACCTAAATCTGATCGGTAAACATTCTTCTCAATTGTCATAAAGCCCCCTGAAACTTTTACTACTGAAGCATCACAAGAAGAACCACCAAGTCTGTACACTAATACATTAACATCTTCAGAAGTTTCCTCAATGTTATATGCAAGAAGAGCAGCCGCAGGTTCACTGATGACTTGCAGTACATCAAAGCCAGCTAATTCAGCACACTTTACTAATCTTTCTCGACTTAAGTTTGACCAATGTAAAGGAGCTGCAAGTACTAACTTTAAATCTCCTTCATTACTCATCGCATGGCTTGCAATTGTGAATAACTTTGCATAGATTTTAGTAGCAATGTTGTCTGGATTGGAATAAAGAGTAGTTTCACTGGTTTCAAATTCGTAAACCACCTTTTCGTCATTTTGGATACGACACGATGCGGATGTCTCAACATAACTTAAGTCTTCCTGATTAAAGTCGTTGTTCATAAGCCTCTTATTGTGTCTTATGATTGATTTAGATGAAAGCTGTCCTGATTTTGCTGGTAAACCAATCTCCCATTCTGTCCCATTGAGCGCAACAATAGCTGGTGTAACGCGGTCTCCAGCATCGTTAGCAATTATAGAAGCCGCTCCATTAGAATAAGACGCTAAACATGCAGAACTGTTGCCCAAGTGTATACCATATGCGCCGGCCATTTTATCGTCTATGTAAACTAGCCGATACAAAATTCTAAGTACTCAGTAATGCCTTTTATTTTTCACTTATACGGTACGAACGAATACTAATGCTAGTCGCATTTACTTTTATTGATAGAAATTTTAACCTCTAAGCTAATAAACACACACACTCACTGTCACAGAGAAACTGACAATCAGTGTTGCCAACCCATAAAAACTAAAAATCAGCAGTTCACCAATAACAAAACAGGAGAAAACAGTAGGTAAAGAGGAAAAAGGAAGATTTCGTACTTTCTTCAAATACAAAAGTAGTAGGACTCACATACATTGTTTTATTATAATATTAATTACAACATAATTAACAAAAAAAAACATAGTAAAATAATTTTCCACTTTCATCCTCAATTGTCTCACCTTCAGTATTTTCAGACTCATTTTTCTTTTTAAAATCATACATATTTTTGTGATTTTTTTTCATGTGAGTATCTGTCTTTTCAAATCAAAAGATCGGTTATTTCGGATTTAGTGTGTAATGCTCCTTTAATAGTTGTAATTATGAACATCTCTACTAAATTTTCTTCTGTTGTCCCCAGTTACAATATCAATAATAGCTCTAGCTTTGATTGATAATTCAGCAATTTTCGAAGCTAGACATACAACGCAAATTTTAGGCCATTTTTACTTCATCTACCACTTTGGCTGGCAGCTTTGGTTGTAATTTTTGTATCTTGTGCATTGAAAGCTGAGGTAAGCATTGATGTCAGTTTTGGTTGTTTTTGTAATTTCAAACAATTCTTCGCATATTTTGTTGAATCTTTGTGTCGTAGCAGTTCGTGTATGCCACATTTTTGGTCACAACTACATGCGGAACAAAAAAATAGATCCCACCTTTAGTGCTTGTCCTTAACCAGTCTTTGAACCTATTATCTACCAGTCTTTGAAAAACAGTAAAAAATAGAAACGAAACAGAAAAAAGAGGCAACAATGTAAAAACATCAAATCTTCTGATGAAACAGTATTCGTAGAGTTGGTAACACTGCTGACAATTGACAATGTAATGACCAATGCTGCCTCTCAACCAGGTTTAACATCTAAAACTACCAGAAAACCAAATTTCACTAAATTTTCCACTAAACACATTTTTTTGTAATTACGTAAGAAAACCATAAGTATATTAATAACTAGATTCCTTTATTAAAATTTAATACTACTAATTGTTTTTGTCAGCACCATCGTCGTCGGTTCCTGATTAATACGATTCTTTGGTACCGATTTGTTTAACAATGTTTATTTGAATTTCTTATTTGTTGCACCATTCTCCTTCCAATTTCAAACCACAGCGTATTCTTAACATAGCAGATAAAATATTTAACTTCATTCCATTCCTCTGTTTATACCTACCTATAGTCTCTCAAGTCTATATCGACATTGAAATGAGACGGTATTAAGGGATAGTGAACATAAGTGAACTCCTTATTTAATTATTTTTTTATTAACTCTTAAATAAAATCCACATTGCCTCCACATTGCCACATGTCCTCTACAACCTTACTATTATTACTAAAGTACTAAAAACAGAAAAAAACACAGAATTATAAAACAAAAAAATGTAAGAACATGTGATTTTCGTACTTGCCTTAATTTTTTATGTTTATTTAATTAGATACATTTCCAATATTTTTACAGGAATATTAGATCTTTACCACAGATTTAGAGATGTGTACCTACATAGTATTCTTAACTATTACACGGCATTATTATCAATGTCATTTGCTTATTTTTTAAATCAATTAACTTTTAGCTTTATCTTTTTTGATGTTTTTTGCTTTTCACTGTTAAAATAATGTTTTTCGCAATACCGATTTATTTAATATAAAGTGTTTTGATGACCTTTTTGAGGGTTATTGTGCCCCTGATTATTATGATAGTTACTCTTAAATATATATATATATTTCTTTGATGATTTTTTGGCTATTACTTACTGCTGCTTTGCGCTATGTTGTCTGCGCATATTTTTTTTCGCGTAGACATCATTTATTTGATGTGCTAGAAACTATTCATGTTTTTCTTCTTTCACAAAAAAAAATTAAATCATAAATCTAATAAAAGCACAACCTTCGATCTACAATACAAATGTATTGTTGATCGGAGCATTTAATAAATATTTTATAGCCGGCAATTGCACACTTGCGTTTAATTATAGTTCATTGTTTTTTTTTTGTACATAATTTTAATGCAATTTTTTGAAAGTTTAAACAAGTTGATTTCATATAATTTAAACTCTCTGACCATTGAAAGTTGGAAACTTTTATAATCTTTTTCATAAAGTCAACAGACACAATTCAATAACCTACTCGTATAATGTTTCCCTACAAGTTACCGGAAACTAAATTTATCGATGTAATAATGGCGGGGTTATTTAAAAATGTTCTATGTTCATGTCAAACTTTTAGACCACAGAGTACAGGTCTTAGGCATCTGTTAAAGATTGTTTATAGTGGACCTATGATCCCGCAGTAATTTTGGTTTTGGTTTCTCTAAGTGGTTTTTAAAACATTAATGGCATGCCATTATTGTGGCTGCATTAATATAAAATTATTTTAAATAAAAGTTAAAAATGGAGAGCAAGCCAGATGAAAACACAATTGCGCTTGATAGTCGACTGCAGAACATTTTGAACACTTTATCCAGATGCAAAATTGTAAGGCAATTTTATAATTTTCGTAACTTTAATATAATTTTATAGAATTATTGATCTGACAGTAGAATGAACAAATGAACTAAATTTTTGCAGGACTTTACTAATGAAAGTGAGGAATGCAGGAAATTACGAGAAGCGAATTCTCGATTAGAATTAGAATTAAGAGAAGTTCGGGAGTTAGAAAAATCCCATCGCTATCATTTAGTTTCATCACGTGAAATGATTGGAAACCTTCAAGAGACAGTGTCGCAGCTGGTCTACCTCAAAAGAGATGTCAAAAGGTTAAAAGATCAGATAAGCTCTAAGGAAGCTGGACTCATTGATTTAGAAAAGGTAACTCTAACTAAATTAGTTAAAATAACTAGCTTTTGCACAGGATACAATGAATCAAGATTATAGGTATATGTACCTACCATACAAACTTGCACCCCTTTTAAGGGTAGTTTTGGAAAATGAGTAATAAATTTTTCATTATTTTAATAAAGAGTATTTATTGTGAATTTGACAACGCTACTACGAAAATAACGAAGTTGCATATAAATTTCCAACCACTATTTTGCACCACCTGGGGTGGAATTTTTAAAAACGTTTTTTAGTGGACACCTAAACATCATAATCATCTAAGGAAGATTTGTGCAAAATTTTATGCTTCTAGTCCCAGCGGTTTCAGCTGTACGTTGATCGATCAGTCAGTGATCAGTCTGCCAGTTTCTTCTTTTAAATAGATAAGGCCGAAAAGTCAATATTTAGCAATTCCGATCGAATCCTCTTTCCTTTTCATACCCGATTCGGTGTCAAATTGACCTTTTCATGGCACATAGTAATTTTTTTAGAGGTTTTATTTAAACTACCATTCATACCGTTTGTCGGTTAAAGTAAGCTTGGGTTGGGTATCCCAGCCCAAAAAGAAATCCAGGCAAATAGCAAAACAAAGAGACGCAAAATGTGGTCTCTGGACCACTAACAACTTCTTGAAAGAAAAGAGACCAAAGAAAGAGTCATATTAACATTTAAACTTTCGCGTGTAGCGATATGGTACCTTAATTAACGCCATCATGTACTGGGTACATACATTTTAATTAATCACCTTACGTTTTGATCAGAAGGCCAATTCTCGTAATAAAAGTTTGGTCAAAATTTAGTTCCGATCAACTTTCGATCTCACAACTATCATAAAAGGTATGTTCGTAGTAAAATAGTAAAATATTGCTAAGACTATCAGTTTGCCGATCCAATTTCCGGTTACAACACGATATAATCATATTACAACCAACGTTGGATGTTCAATACTTTACTATAAAAAATCCTTTTATGACAGTTATGGGATCGACAGTTATCGGAACTGAATTGAGACCAAACTTTTATTACGAGAATTGGCCTTCTGGTTGTCCAGTGTCATGATTTTGTGGTCAAGCGCTCTTATACTTGATATTCTATATACGAACACAAGTATCACTTTAAAATACTCATCATCATCATCTTTTCCCAAATATATCTATTACATACAATAAGTTATTACTATTTAAGTACGTATCCCTTTTTATACTATATTTATTTATGAAATATGTACTATATTTATTTAAATACTGTAATACAAAAAAAAAATCAAATCTACGTATGCTCATTTTTCAGGAAAAAAATAATGCATTACAGAAACATAATGAAAATGTTATTAAACTGCGGGCAGCATATGAGAAACAGATTGAAGATCTAAAAGCTGATAGCAAAAGGGAAAGTTGGTATTCTAACACAAGTATTTATTTTTTACCTACCTGAAACGTGAAGATATTTTTATACGCATTTTTAAGCAAATTTCGAGCATTTAGTAATGCGAAATTTGTTATGTTGAAGAAGCGCAGAAAGCATTTTTTTTTAAGTAAAATAATTTAGAATAATTTGCAAAATTATGCGTCAACTGTCGTTGCATGGGCCGTATTAATTAACAATGACATCAATAGCTTTTAATAGTCCACTGATGGACGTAGCCCTATGGTTAGAAAGCAGATTATGGCCTATTAGAAATACTAGAAATCAGAGGTGATCAAATTACGTCCGCGTGTGCCGGACGTCGCCTAAATAGAGAATGCACCCGAAGTATTAGCTCGGAGGGGTCTGGATGTCCTTATAACAGCAGTTCCCGGATCTCTCCTATTACAGGCCTAGAGTAGCACACCGTGTGGTTTTAGTCGGTCCGATTCCGATACACCTCCCCGCCGCAAACCCCGGTGGGATGACGGCCTGAGGGGGGTTTCCACAAGTAAAAAAAAAAGGGTTTGTTTCAAGTTTTCCTTCACCTTACTTTCTTCTTCTTGCCTTTTTAATTGACAGTTCAAGTTGAATTGGTCAGTTAGGTAAGTCTTAATACTTACATTTAGGTCAAAATTTGATCACCTCCGATTTCTAATATTTCTAAATACATGAAGATGTGAAGTATTATTATACTATACAACTATATATATTTAAGTCAAAATTCATGCCAACTTGGCTAATCAAAGGTAAATTAATTTAAATCAATTACTGATAGTTGTACCATAACTATATACTGATTATTTAAAAATAATATTACCATGATGTAATTTATGATAATCTAATGTAATATTCAGTCCAACAGATACAACATGAGTGTGACGCGCAAGTAGCACAGTTCACATGTGTTATAGAAGAGCTCAAAGCTAAGATGAGAGAAATCGAAGCAGAGAATAGAGATAAGGTTTGTACATATATAATATTTAATATAGTGCCGGTTAAATATAATTTTGATATTTTTATACAAGTGTTTAGCTATGTAAAAGGTTGATAGTTGTTAAATGTTCATTTGTTATGTGACCCATCGCAGCAAGTTTACCCATCTACAGGATCTCCGTGATAAATTCTTCCTAAAGTAAGTACATGCGCAGTAAAGAAAAGGATAATAATCTTCTAATATTAAAAAAATATTTGTGTGCAATCTCAAAATTAGGACAAACAAATTATACCTACCCAGTGTTTTCTGTGTTCCGCATTATCCCGGTCAAGCGTGAGACTCGGTTTTGCGCGATAGTAAGAGCATAAATGTCAACCCTAGCGGCTGCTTGATTTATACATTTTAGGCCAATGATATCGTATGCATTGCATGCATGTAAAATTATTCCTGTATTAGCAATGTCGATGTAGGGTTACCGCATGCCTTTTTAGCTCTCAAGAAAGTAAACAGTATGTCTTGTGACATCCTTAAAACGTGACTGGTCAATCGTATGGTTTATACCTTTGTTAGAAATAACAAAAAATATTTTTATTCGCTTGTGTTTGTAAGTAAGAATTTGTTATTATACAACTACAAAACATAAATATATAAACAGTATCTTCGAAGCAAAAGTGTAGTGATTAACATGGACTGTTATTTTATATTGATTCGTATAATGAACAAAATAAAGCAAATTCTTAAACTAGAAATTAAACCAGATTCATATATTCATTAGTCTGGTTAAATTTTGAGACTTGCGAAAATATTAACAATATTTTCGCAATTATGTATGCGCTTTTACATCATCGTTTTGAATAATTTACTAGTCGAGGCCGTAAGATTAAATAATATTTTTGATAGGAAATTTATATGTATTGTATAATATTTAATAATTGTGTTAATACATAATGTGTCTAGTATTTCTTAACGTTGTGTTCCTTTAACTAAATTAAGGGAACTAGGACGTGGTGTTCTAGAAATTACTTAGCCAGCTACTTATACTGAAGTACACTTTAAACGATCGAGATCCCTCAAAAATCATTACTTCGAAATCATGGGAATACCTTGTCAATATAAGCCACTGGCTGAACAAAACAACAATGCTCTTACTGCTCAGCGACCGTCTGCTGAAAGCCTAGTTAATTACGATTTATGGTATTATATAAAAGAAAGCTCTTCCACCGATCTACAAATCGTAATGAACACATATGAAATGTATGCGTAACGTGGAGATACTACGTCACTGGGTTTCCATTCGAGCGGAAGTGTTTACTACCTCTTTACATCAACATTAGCTAGGTACTACTTGTGTGGAAGAATAACTGTACCGTATCATCACGTAACTACTTCCATATGTAAAAAAAAGATACACATACAGCCAAATTTATATGTAATAATAGTCATAATCGAAAATTTCCTAGTTTTTACTCACCATTTTATAAAATTTATGTAATGTTGTATGCATATGTACATTTTTACAGAATCAGAAGACTGAATGTATGGGTATATAAAAAACAGATACCTTATCGTACATTCGGTCATCATGAATTTTTCTTTCCTTTAAATGATGACTCCCGCACTAGTAATGTATCCCGTGTATAACTTCGCGCAGTAGTTAATGGCTTAAACCACTCCGTGTAGTATAGTAGGCTAATTTAGCATACCCATTGCCAAAGATCGTGCAAAGGTCACATCTTTTATCGAAAACTAAAAAAAAACGAAAAGGGGGAAATATACTGTTATGCGAATACATCTGTGGACATATTAGTATTTACTCGCAGATGTGCTTGCTCGAGAGAAAACCTATAAAATGTTTTTATAACATTTTACTTTTTTTTTTAATACTGAAAACATCAGCGTTGAGATCTTTCCGAAGATACAGGAAAAGAAAGGTGAGCAATGATTTGAAACTAGTTGTTATTCTAGATCAGCGTTGTAGTGTTGGAGTATGAAGAGAAGCTACAACGGGAGGTTGCGCAAGGAGCGCAGTTACGGGAGCAGTTGGCCAGAGAGACGACCCGCACTGATCTTAATATAGACGCTTATAGAAGGGTATGTACTTGAATACTAAAAAAGTTTGGACGCGAAGTCGAACGCAGTTAATTTCTGTTGAAATAAATGAAAAAAAAGTTTGCCTTGATTAGGTGAGCTAATGATATTGCAAAATAAATAATGAAAATATTTTAACAAGTGATTTGAAGGCAACCGGGGACAAATTACCTTTTCCGTTTTTATGCCTAAATGCTGCAGTTCATAAAACAATGAATATTATATAATATTCAAGCTGAATTATTTACGTAACACATATGCTCTAGGTATTCATAAATACTATACCACGCTGGCCAGACGGGTTGGTATAGGGTTTGTTTCCGGAGGCGGCTGACGGCGGGCTGTCCTATGCGGCCGTCTTCAAGAAGGCCCGGGACAGCCTCGCCAACGAGTTTGGGACGGTGGGGGTCAGGATGCGCCTCGCCCAGACGGGAGCTCGAGTTCTCGAGTTCCCTGGGGCCGAAGGCGCAAAGACGGCGGACTCCTTCGCTGAGAAGCTGCGGGGAATATTTGCAGCCACAGATGGTGTCAGGGTCGCCAGGCCTACCAAGTGCGCGGAACTGCGCATCTCGGGCCTGGACGACTCAGTGACGGCCGAAGATGTCCGCGCTGTAATCCGGGAGAAGACGGGGTGCAGCGCGGACAACGTCAGGGTCGGCACCATCCGCCCCGGTCCAGGAGGGCTTGGCGCCGTGTGGGTCAGCTGTCCCGTAGCGTCGGCCAAAGTATTGGCCGACGCCGGCAGGCTGCTCATCGGTTTCGTGAGCGCCAGGATCACAGTCCTGGCGGCGAGACCGATGAGATGCTACAAATGCCTAGCATCGGGACACACGCGCGTCAAGTGCGACAGTTGTTTTGACTGCGGCGGACTGTGTTTCCGCTGCGGTCAACCGGGGCATAAGGCGGCAGAATGCTCTGCCGCCCCTCACTGCCCAGTGTGTGCGGCGGGCAATAAGCCCGCCAATCACCAGATGGGGCAGAGAGGCTGCAAGCCTCCCCGCAGTTCTCGGCAGACGTCGGGGGTTAGCCAGTCGACCCAGGCTGCCTCCGATGTAGTTCGTGCGTCGACGTCGTCGCCCATGGAGGAGGTTGTAGAGACGATCCAGTAATGGATCAAGTCTCCAACCTCCTGGTCCAGACGAACCTGAACCACTGTGCCGCGGCGCAGGATCTCTTCCTGCAAACCATGGCACAGTGGTCGATAGGTGTTGCCGTAGTCGCGGAGCCCTATTCTGTCCCTCCCCGTCCAAACTGGATGGGTGACTGGGACGGCTCCGTGGCAGTCGTCGGTTCCACGACGGCTCATTCCCCGCCCTTGTCGCTAAGAGACAAGGGCACTGGATATGTTGCCGTCGAGTGGGGGGGGATCACCATATATGGTGTCTATTTCTCCCCCAACCGGAGTTTGAACGACTTCGAGGTTTTCCTAACCAGCTTGGAGACCTCGATACGGCGACTAGCGTCTGGGCACGTCCTTGTGCTGGGGGACTTCAACGCAAAGTCCATTGCGTGGGGTTCCCCTAGGACGGACGCCAGGGGCGAGGCCGTAGAGGAGTGGGCGGCCTCGGTGGGCCTCTGTCTTCTAAACAGAGGCTCCACCAACACGTGCGTGCGACAGCAGGGGGGGTCGATAGTGGACCTTTCGTTCGCTACCCCTGTCCTCGCCGCACGAGTAAGGAACTGGTGTGTCCTGGAAGAGGTTGAGACGCTCTCGGATCACCTGTATATCCGATTTGAGCTCTCCCGGACCCAGGACTCCAGTAGGGGTCACGTGGCGCGGCGTTTATCCCGCTTTCCGCGGTGGGCTGTTGCCAGGCTGAACCGGGACCTACTAGAGGAGGCAGCCATAATTCACTCGTGGCTGTCTCCTCAGGCTCCGACCGAGGAGGTCGACGTGGGGGCTGGCCGCTTTCGCGATGCGATTACGCATGTATGCGATGCGGCCATGCCCCGCGTTCGAGGTCGTCGGCCTCCAAGGAAGGAGGTCTACTGGTGGTCCCAGGAGCTGGCGGACCTCCGTGCGGCCTGTACACGTGCCCGGAGGTCCTACACGCGCAGTCGGCGGCGTCACCGTGGAGACGGTGAGGAGGACCGGCTTCATGAGGAGTACCGACGGGCGCGGAAAACTCTGAAGCTGGCCATTAGCCGCGCCAAAGAGGAAAAAAGACAGGAGATGCTGGAGGGTCTTAATCGTGACCCCTGGGGTCGCCCTTACCGCGCGGTGCGACAAAAGCTCCGCGCGTCGGGCCCCCCCCTTACGGAGACTCTCCAGCCCAGCTTCCTGCGAGAAGTGGTTGAGGGCCTTTTCCCACAACGGGCGGAACACACTCCCCCGTCGATGGCCTCCCTGGCCGGAGACGACGGGGAGCACGGGGAGGACAATGTTCCGCCCGTCCGGGAATCGGAGGTAGGGGCGGCTGTTCTACGGATCCGTTCCAAGAACACCGCCCCTGGGCCAGACGGGGGTACCGGCCCGAGTGCTGGCCCTGGCCCTCAACCACATGGCAGACCGCCTCGGGGAGGTGTTCGACGCTAGCTTGGCGTCGGGACGCTTCCCTGAGTGCTGGAAGAGCGGGAAGCTGGTCCTATTGACGAAGCCGGGACGGCCTGCCGATTCGGTCGCGGCCTATAGGCCCATCGTGCTGCTGGACGAGGCGGGCAAATTGTTTGAGAGGGTTCTTTCTGCCCGCATCGTCCGGCACCTCTGCGAGGTGGGCCCCGATCTGTCGGACGCCCAATTTGGTTTTCGGGCGGGGCGTTCGACAGTCGACGCCGTGTTGCGCCTGAGGGCCGTGACCGAAGAGGCCGTGAGCTGTGGCGGCGTGCTGTTGGCGGTGTCATTGGACATCGCCAACGCATTCAATAGTCTGCCATTCAGCTGCATCAGGGAAGCACTCCACTATCATGGGGTGCCAAAGTACCTGAGGCGGCTGGTGGCAGACTATTTAGAGGAGCGTACCGTCGTGTACGAGGACCGAGAAGGTAATTTGAGGTGTCGGCCCATGTCGTGCGGTGTTCCACAGGGGTCTGTTCTTGGACCCCTCCTGTGGAACATAGGGTACGACTGGGCCCTTCGCGCCGATTTCCCCCCCGGGCTGGGTGTAATCTGTTACGCAGACGATACCCTCGTGACAGCGCGGGGGGCAAACTTCCAAGAGGCGGCGCGCCTGGCCACAGGGGGAGTCTCCCTGGTGGTCGGGCGCATTGAGGCGCTGGGCTTACGGGTGGCCCTAGATAAGACGGAGGCCCTGTTATTTCATGGGCCCCGTCGTGGTCCACCCCCTGGCGCCTCCATCGTGGTCAACTCGGTCCTCGTACCGGTTCGGGCCCAGATGAAATATCTGGGCCTGATCCTCGACGGGAGGTGGCTCTTCGACGAGCACTTCCGACAGCTTGCTCCAAAGCTGGTCGGCGCTGCGTCTGCCCTAGGGCGACTCTTGCCCAATATGGGTGGACCCAGCGTCGCGACAAGACGGCTGTACACGGGGGTTGTCCGGTCAATGGCGCTGTACGGTGCACCGGTGTGGGCGGCGGCTCTGACCGCCCAGAATAGGGTACGCCTCTGGCGCCCTCAGAGGGTAATGGCGGTCAGAGCCATACGCGGTTACCGCACCGTTTCTACGGAGGTGGCATGCGCGTTGGCCGGAACTCCCCCGTGGGATTTGGAGGCGGAAGTGCTCGCCGAAGTTTATCGGCGAGTGGCTGACTTCCGGGCGGAGAGCGGATTTCGCCCTCCGCCCGAGGATGTGCGCGAGTGGCGCGAAGCCGCTCGCCGAGCCACGATGGCTCGTTGGTCGCTCCGGCTGGAGACTCCACGCGCTGGCTTCGCCGCCGTGGAGGCTCTCCAGCCGGTCATCGCCGAGTGGGCAGGGCGGCAGCACGGGACCCTTTCCTTCCGACTGACGCAGGTGCTTTCCGGGCACGGTTGCTTCGGAAAGTACCTGCACACGGTCGCTAGGAGGGAACTGAGTCCCGCCTGCCACCACTGCGACTGCAGTGAGGACTCGGCCCAGCACACGCTGGCGGTCTGCCCCGCATGGGCGGCGCAGCGCCGGGCCCTCACTGCAGTCATCGGAGTGGATCTTTCGCTACCGGCCGTAGTACGCTCCATGGCCGGTAGCGACAGTTGTTTTACCGCGGTCGCAACCTTCTGCGAGGTAGTAATCTCGCGGAAGGAGGCGGCGGAGAGGGCCCGGGAGGACGACTTCCACTCGGACCCGATCCGCCGCCGGCGAACCGGGCGGCGGAGGCCCGCCTACCACAGCCTCATGCCGCCCTGAGTGTGGCCGCGGGTGGACGGGGTGGGTTTCCCCTCCACCCGCATTAGTTGGCCAGCCGCGAGGGGGCGGCGTCCGCGTGTGCCGGACGTCGCCTAAAGAGAGGAACATCTATATTGAGACGGAGCCCGCACCAGGAGCGGGCTGGCGCTAGGAGGGGTCCGGATGTCTTAACAACAGCTGTTCCCGGATCCCTCCTGTCACAGGCGCAGAGTGGCACACCGTGTGGTTTTAGTCGGTCCGAGTCCGACACACCACCCCGCCGCAAACCCCGGAGGGGTGACGGTCCGAGGGGATTTCAAGTTTTCCTTCTCTTTGCAGTGCTGTTGTCCTACTTAGTTTGCTCCCTTAGTCGGCTCTTACGACACCCACGGGATGAATTGGGGTGGTGACAATTTGTATTCTTAATCCGTCACCACACGGATAGTAGGCCAAAACCTCCTTTCTAAGGAGAGGCCTATGTCCAGCAGTGGACTAGTATAGGCTGTTGATGATGATGATGATTCATAAATAATTTTCTAAGAATAAAGCGTAATAAAATACTGCTCAAATGGGTTAATATGCAAGTTACAGAAATAATTCAATTAACAATGTAAATATTTTAACTTAGTATCCTTACAATGTATATTTTATTGGTACTTAAGGTTAATAATTAATAGAATTAGGCGTTTTAATGGATTTAAACACTTTTATATCGTATAATTTTAAAATACATTTTTAAAGTACCATTTACAGGTAAATTACGCGAAACGAATAGAACAGTTTACGCAGTTTCTAGCAGTGTAATAGCTTGCTACAACTGCCATCTATAGGAATATTGTACTATTTATACTTATAACTAATATCATTGTAGTCCACGATAACTACTAATTGTTAATAAAAATGTGAATTTGTTTGTTTTTAACTCTTTCGCGGCTTAAGTAGTCAGTTATTTATCATGAAATGGCACAATAGTACAAACATCGCCAAGGGAACGACAATGTTCCCTTGAGAGAAAAGAAGTATTTACTGTTACCGTGCAATAGAAAAAAACTTTAAAGTCAGCTAAGCCGCGCAATGCTTAGTTAACCATTTTCCTCGCTAACTCACTTTTGTATAACCCGTCTAACAGCGCTTGGAAGAATTAGAGGAGAAACTAAAACAAAGTCAGTTCAAACAATATTTGGAGAATAGTTACCCTTCGCATTTTGAAAGTCAAGTAGAGCGGCCATATTCTGTCAACCGGGAGTATACAAATTATCATTTAGATATAAATCCTAGTCAAGACAAAGCGAAACTGCCAGTATCATCACAAAACAAAGCCGCAAAATCAACTAATTCTCTGCAAGTAATTTATTACGACAATAAAACCGATAAAACTCCAAAAACGAAGACATGTGACAAAAAAGGCCTGTTTCACATAACTAAAAAGAGAAAACTGTACAACGATAAAGAATTTCAGGATTTCTAGTAATTTGTCATGTCCTTGTCTTGTATGAAATATTTATAATTGTCTTATTTGACCTCAATAAAGCACGCTTCATGATTAATGTCTTCTTTTTGTATTTAATTATATTTTATTCACTTTAGAAATTTAAGGTCCTTAACTCGTGATAGTAGGCTATTTGGTAGGTATTTGTTTCTTATATATATAGTAGTATATCTATAAGGAACAAAAACTTTATTGAATGATAACTTGGGATTTAAATCGCCCCTAAGAAAAACTTTATAGTCACTTAAATAATCCCAATACGAATTTCAACGTACCTATTTGTAGCGTCATAGATTGGAGCAGATTGACAAATATACCTATAAATAAGTCGATCAAGTCTCAAATGAATAAGAGTATTTTTTTAAACATTTCAAACATCTATGTGATATCATCAATCATCATTAACAGCCTTTAACAGTCCACTGCTGGGCATTGGCCTCTCCTCAGAAAGGAGGTTTTGATCTACTATACCACGCTGGCCAGACGGGTTGGTATAGCGTTTGTGTCAAGTTTTCCTTCTCTTTGCAGTATTATTGTCCTACGTAGTTTCCTCCCTTAGTCGGCTCTTACTATACCGTCGGGATAAATAAGGGTGTGTTAGGTGGTTGTCCGTGTGGCGACGGATTAAGAATACGGATCGTCACCACCCCCAATCATCATGTGGGTTAGGCCTATGCCAACCCACATGATGATTGGTATAGAAGTCAAAACCTCCTTTCTAAGGAGAGGTCTATGTCCAGCGGTAGACTATTAAAGGCAGTTGATGATAATGACGCATCTGCGTCCGATTTTTCTCTTTTTGGCCCTGGCAACCTTGGTTACGGACACGTAGTAAGTCTTCTTGAAATAACAGATGGCTTTATTAAATTAAGATTTCTCGCTTTTTACCATATTCCTGTTAGTTGTTATCTAATCTGGTTTTTTTAATAGGGCAGGTTTTTTTATCCTTGAACTATTAAACGGATTAAAGTATTCTCAAAGATTTTCTAATTGATTATGTTTTAAATGATGTGTAATTATTTTATACGTATTTTAATTACATAAGTATATTAAATGATGTCTATATATTTGTACATAATGCTTAAAGGCTAAGTCCATAATAAAAAAACTTTAATGTAGCTTCTTTAAGCATTGTTTATTTAACTTTTTTTTTAGTATTTAATTAAAATTCATTGTTAAATGATTATAAAATTGTAATAACCTTTAGCCCGAAATGGAGGCCACATTCAACGAACTTGGGGGGAAATTAAAAATTATTTTATGAAATATACAAATTGAATAATAAAAAAAAAACAAACTAAAATAGCATTGTTCTTGGATTAATTACCTACTCAAACGAACATTCTTTTAACAAAACCTTTTACAACCTTCTAGGCGATCTTGGAAACTCCGTTCAAGTGACAGGAACCTGTTGGTCGATTTTAAATATGTACCTATTTTGTTTGTGATTTTTTATCGGACATAAATAATTCGTCAGTAATATCAAAGTCACAAACAATATGAGCTGAATGTTATTTGTATTTAGTTGTAATTATTTAAAACTTTTATTGAAAAATTTAATATAATAAACAATAATTTATATTATATTATAAGTATGTGATGCACCAGGTCGTTAAACCTAATCAAATTCGAATTTTCTCTGAGTTTTTACCTAGACAAAAATGACCCCCCTCCAATCCTTTAAACTGGTTCCGCCCTTTTTTTTTTTTTTTTTTTTTTCCGTGCGGAAATCCCCTCGGATACCACCTGTCGGTGGCATGTCGGACTCGAACCGACTAAAACCGCACGCCTTCGGCGGGTACTAATAGCCGGGGAACCAGGTATACCCTAGAAAGGAAGTCCCTGGTGCCCCGACATACCTCGGGTCATCTACAGACGAGTAGACGACCCCCCCCGTGTGGGAACCCCATGTTCCCTGTGCTCCCTGGAAGCGAGCGCGCTTCGCAACGCGCTCGCCGCCACCCCGGCCTGCTTCTGCTAGGGTGACAGATGGCCTCACCTGTCACCCCCAGGCCTGCGCTTATGGAGGACGGAGGTCGTTCTGCGACCTCCGGCGCCTGAGTCGCCTGCGGTGCCTGGCCCGTGCCCGGGCCTGGCGGGCCGGGAGAGTTCCAAACCTAATTAGTAAACTCCTTTAAACTGGTTCCGCCCCTGTGACTAAGACAGTGTCAACAATTATACGAGTATTAATACTTATTAATTTAAAGAAATAACACAATGATTGTCGCTGATTGATTGCTTATACAATAAAGTTTTGTTTTGCTTCCGGAGTTCGTTAATGTCTGTCTGTTACAGCCATGAGTTTAATGGTAATTAATTATGTATTAGACAATTATTTATCTATTTACTATTAATTACCAACTATTGCTTGATAGCTCTTACTAAAAGCTTGTTACTCAAGTAATAGATATTATTACGCAATCTGTTAGTAAAGATTTGAAAGAAATAAATTTAGGTATATTACCGGTTTTACCTATCTAATAAATAAATATACCTGGGTTATAAGAATGTAAAGGCGGGTATAATAGCATCCTGATAAGCCAATGTTATGTTATTTTGGATAAAATATATACTTTATAAACCTAATTGCAAACATCCAACACTAACGGTAACAATTGACCCTCAAAGGGTTCTTCGCTTGTTTACCCTTTTTAGTACTTATAGTAATAGCATCATTAACATCTATCTTAGATGTGTTCGAGTCTTAACTGTTCGATGTCGTATTTCGAAGGTTCGTACCGTCTTATTTGATTTATTCAGGTTCGGTTGGTTTATGATATTCCAAATAAACAGCAATCGCTAAATATTCTAAAAGGGTATCTTAGGTCCTTGGAAATATTGGTACACTTCTTACATTGCATTTTAGTAGGCGCAGTGTTATCTTTGACTATTTACTTTTGATTTAGAGTGTATTTACGTGTCGCATCTCTGATGCGGTTCATGCGGTATTGGATATGGTGGCACCTCACGGGGACGATTTAAGTTCAATCCAGATGAAAAATGGAAGCCATTTTAAATTATGTTATTAGTAATTTGAAAGTAAGTACCATGTGATTAGGTACACGTTGAATTAATTAAAATAGATACGTTTATAAATAGTGTCCGTATGGATTGAGGAGCTATTTCCGATTTTAAACGGATTTTTTAAACAAATTCTGAAATTTGTTGTAAGATATATCCAAAGTTACATCAATGTAAAAGTGTCTCCTCAATCTAAACATTTGAATTGAGGAGCCACCTAGAACACGGAAAGTGTTTATGAATATTTAAAAATATTGTATCATTTAGTAGTAAAAAAAATTATACAAAATAATAATAATAAAATTATATAACATTGTGTATAGTGCCTACCAAAAATCAGAATCCATTACTGTTGATATTCATGAATATACAATACTTTTAATGTGGCTTCTCAACCTATATTTAAGAGTGTGAACTGCCATGAATGTAATAGGTCTAAATTTATAGTCCATTCCAAAAAAAAATACTTAGTTGCAAGTGTGTTTGACGCTACAACGTCAGGAGAAAGTAGTAAAACTGAGTGGATTTTATTTGGCTCCTCAATCGTGACGTTCTGCATGATAAATAATCGACTGTATCTACCTGAGATCACAACAGAAACAAAAACCAGAGACACTAACATTTAGTATAAATATCTAGTAAATATGTACAGATCAACATTGTTTATATTCGGTACTTAAAAACAAATTACTTTTCAATATTCCTTATGAATTCGCTATTTAGAGTGACCATGTCAATGAAAACAAGAGAACAAGTTTTTAGAAATTTAATTTTCAACAAATCGACAATATCGAAATACAATTAATCAGTTTGGTCATAAGTGATACAATGAATGAATATTGGTTGTTCGGTGCTTTGACGAATTTTACAGTAAGAATCATAGTCGTCATAGCAAAACATCTCATCCTTCGTTGGGTATTATAATTATAATTAATTGGGATAAATTATATAACACCTATTAATATGTATGATCTACCTGAAATCATTATAGATTCAGGTACCTTGCTTACTCGAAACTTAGTGCAAAGATTTAGTTCAAATGAAACTGTATGCTGCTTACATACCTAACGTATTTATTTGGATAAGGAATAATACTCTATTGTTCAAAATAAATTCGTAAATTACCTAATATTTTTTGTAACATGTAAAAGATAATAATGGTTACTGTGGGTTATCTTTATAGACATATAACATCATGGCATTTTTTGTAGATCTTTTTAAGATATACAATTCCATAATACACTGTACAATTACATAAATATTGGTGGGGGGTGGGTAAAGAAATTAATTTACAGTTAACCCATAACAATTACATAAAATAAAATAATTACTCAAAATTTGTTAGGAAATTCAAGAATAGATAATAACCTTGTAGATACTGTACTTTTTTATGACAGGATTATACGTACATTTAGTATGTATACATTTATACAAATCTTATAATAATAAAGATTTATCTTCCAAATTTCCGCACAAAGGTCCTCCTTTAAGTAAATAGGGTCTACCAATAAGAACGTCCTGGTTTAAAAATTGAATAAAACACACAATTTTTTATGAAAAATGCATCCGATTGATTTATTTGATAGATAATTTTATGCAATTTATGTTTTAAATAATATATCGGCCAAATGACCGTCGCGGCGACCCGCTCACGCCAATTTTCGATGACGCGGTGCACCATTTCGGCCGGTATGTCGGCTATGGCTCGTCGAATGTAGGTTTTTAGGTCACGAATTGTAGCTGTATACTTTAGATTTAACGTAACCCCAAAGAAAATAGTCTAAAGGTGTTAAATCACACGATCTTGGTGGCCAACTGATCGGTCCTTTTCTCGAAATTAACGACTCACCAAACTTTCCACGCAATAATTCCATGTTCACTCGAGTAATGTGAGGTGGTGCACCGTCTTGTTCAAAATAAAGGTCGTCTGCATCAATATCATCAAATTCCGGAAAGAAATATTCGGTTAACATCAAGTTATAGCGCTCGCCATTCACAGTAACAGGGTTTCCTTCGTCACTTTCAAAGAAGTTTTGGATAATTTCCAAGCGTTGGTTTAAAGTGAAACGTGACATGATAAAATCACAAACCTTACTGAACACAAATGTCAAGAGACGTCAAAGATCCATCATCAAACATGGCCGCTATGAACTGTCAAAACCAGGTCATCCCTATTGGTAGACCCAGTATTAGAGTCAAATCTATTTACCGAAGTATCTTAACTGAGGAACCAGTTAAAATCTCCCAATTCACTCATTTTTAATTACTTAATCTTTATACTACAAATTTAACATACTTACTACCTACTAAATGATAAAGAAATTGCGCATCAATTGAAAGACTGCTTCTTTGATAAATAACAGTCGTATTCATGGTCTGAGGAGCGACAAATATAATGTATGCTAATTTTCTTTATTTTAACATTACCGAGCTCAGGAAAATCGTACTAAATTATGATAAATGAACATCCATTATGTTCCTAGTTCTGACGTGGCTCCTAAATCCAAACATTTAGATTGAGGAGCCACCTTTATGTTCATATAACTTGAAAAGTATTATACTACAAAATCGAGGATCGAGCCTGGAACTACTAAATAATAGTATTAATGCCATTAAGATATAAATATAAAATTGGCTCCTCAATCCAAACGGACACTTATACTTATACTCCACACTTCGGCACAAATGGGTTGGCTCGACCGGAGCGATACCATGACCTCACAGAAAATCGGTGTTAGGCAGTTATTTCGTTGCTTTTCACCGAGTGAGCGAGATTACCGGAGCCTAAACCTCCTCCCCCCTTTTCTCTTGTTTTTTTTTTCTGTGAGGGACTTCCCTCGGATGCCGTCTCAAGGCACCAGTAGCCGGGGAACCAGGTATACCCTAGAAAGGAAAGCCCTGGTTAGCCTCCTCCCCTGTAGAGGGTGGGACTCAAAGCACTCGTAAATCTTGAGTTGCAAGTGTCCATTCCAGTCCATTACCATCAGTAGTGCTTTATATTAAGGAAATAGACTTGCGTAAAGTGCTGCCACAGCGTCAAACTTCAAACTTACTTTCAATTCTAACTTGAAATTCTACGCTGTGACAGCTCTGTACAACGGACTTATACCTACATATTTATAGCGCCCTCAACCGTGACAGGCTAGAAAGGGGTTATGGATCCTAGCATCCAGAACCCGGTATTTAAACATTTTTTTTGAAACTATACCTTACCAATAGTTTAGATGTTTGCAAATTTTTTGGGGAATTTACCAAAGCGAGATAAGAATTTAGTGATTAACTGTCATTGAACTAATGCTGTAAAATTAAAACAAGCCAATACTGTTAGATTTTCCACACTAAACAAATCGTAAATAAAAAAATACAACCCGAACTTTCTAATGTGATTTATGTAAAAAATTTAAAGTGGTTATATAAGCAAAGAATACCACTAATTAAATTATTACAACAAACGTCGCGCCACAATAGCTATTTGTAACGAAAAATGCAATATGCGGTGGATTATTGTGGCGTATCTGATACACCTATTTAACAAAACTACGATGATTAAAAATGCGGTTATGAACATACCTACATATTCATCAGTTACATCATGAGATGTCCTACATACCTTCTTTTAATTCGTCTACATACCCACTTCCTCTGAAGCGTGAATCGCAATACTTATTAAGTAGGTACGTTAACTGGTTCATATTAGGCCTTCATGACTAATAATTACAGATAACACCAAATATTTATGTATCTCCTAAACACTTTCGACATGCAATGTTTTTATAGTCCCGATTTAAGTACCTAAGTACGTACTTACAGAGAACTTACTGACCATTCCATTACATTTGACTCCGAAATAAACATATCTTATTAATGGAAACAGATCACATTAGTTGAAATCTGCAAAAAAAACAGGAAAGTTGAAATAAATACGAGCATTGATATCAAAGACTTTATGTCATAGTGAAAGTGCAGACAGATGTACTTCCAGTAAATCTCCGTCTTGTCAATGTCTTGATCGATGAAAATCATGTTGAAAGTTAACCACACCATAGGATAATAAACAGAAATTGCTGGTAATATTAGTCATAGCTCTCGGTGGTAGGAAAGCGTGATCTCAGCTCATGATGTTATAATCGACGAAATAGGAGATTACCCACGTGTATAATAATTACAATTTCCTTAAGATTCAAACATTTACAGAGGAAAAAAAGGTAGCAAGCAAATAATTAAATAAAACATAAATGATTTTGAAATATATGTAATTAGGTACATAAACACATGAAACAAAACCTAGTAGACCTCTTTGAACTTATCAAAAATCAATTAAAAGTTACAAACTTGATAAAAGTTTATTCAGCCTTATTATGAGCCAAGCTTACTAACAAATACTTAAAATAAAAATGAAGAAAACATATGTATATTTTTCTATCTTTGGCTAGCATTTAGTTTCTCGAGATTACAACATTAAGAGAACAATAATCATTTAGCACCTTGCATAAAAATGCTTCTTATTACTACTTACATAAGTAGTATTTCACAACAATATGTACCTTCAGTACATCTATAAAAATTGATCTTGATTATTAACAAAGCAAGATTGAGGAAGTTAGATTTTTTAATTAGAAAATTGTATAAGAGTGAGCGAACATTGTTCTCAACAGCAGCAGGATTGATGGCTTTAATTAATATTTTACTAGAACAAAAGGTAATTTTTTGCCCGAACAGATAGTACGGAAACAAGCATGTTATACAACAGGTAGGTATCGAACAAAATCAGAAATGTTTAGGAATGCTTTCGATATATTTATATAGGGCACTTAATTCAGACACGACTTTCAAGTTGCAGTCGTTAAATAGGTACATAACAGTCATGACTTAGTGTCTACACTACAAATATTTAGAAATAATTTTCAATATTTTATTTTTTACAATTTTACATAATTAATATTAACATAGATCACTTGTCTTTTTTCTTCGCTTTTTTTTAAAAGTGCGCAACTCTGTAGTTTATCATTCTTGTGCTGGCCGATGCTGGCTACGAATAAGTCTATCAAGTGAATTCCAACTGCAAGAGTAGTCGATCTCAAGATGTCCATATCTGGACAGGTGGAAGTTATCAGGAACGGCCTTCGGGAAAGGTCGCGCCCAGTCTTCATAATCAGGTGACAGGCTCTCGTACGCGAACTGTTCATACACATCTGTCATCCTGGGTATTACACAAAACAGAATTATTTAATCACATAGTAAGTACCCAAGAATTTTAGAGCGTTACTGTGTACAATAACATAATATTACCTATATACCTTTAGTTTACAAGATAATTATTAAACCGCTATTTTAGCTGTAATGAATTATTTAAAAGCTCATTTAATCATTGACGATATTAGCCATGGATCAAAGTTTTTATGACCTTTTTTTTGTTAGTAACAAAAGTTTCAGTTAAATTACATTCGCTTTTAACTAGACTTGCAACGAATAGTATATTCGGCAGTATACCGAATACCGAATATTCGGCGAGGCCCCTGACCGAATAGCCGAATATTAGGCAAAAGTATTCGGCTGGATTTTATCGCCAAAAACTTGTACAGACGTGAATTAAATTATGTACCTGTTTTATGTACCAATGACTACTTAACAAATGATTATAAAAGAAATGAGAACCTTACCCTTCTAAATTTTGATTACCACAATAATTCAAATACATAGAATCCTCCATTTTTCCAATTCAGAAGATGATTATGTACCTGTGTTATCCACCAATGACTACTTAAATGATTATAACAGAAATAAAAATATGAATATATACGTAATCAATCGTTTTTAATTTTTCATTTTACCAATTATTTCTCAATGACAAAATATATTATTTAAGTATTCGGTATTCGGCCGAATAATATGTAGATATTCGGTATTCGGCCGAATATAATAAAAGCAGCCGAATAGGCCGAATACCGAATAGTAACCGAATATTCGTTGCAAGTCTACTTTTAACCGATTGATGGAAAGGCATTGTTATGGCTTTCGTTTAAGGCGTCTTTTCTTTGAGCAGGCGAGTAATGCAGCTTTAGGTTTCAGCATAGACAGGACACGGGGTGGGGTACAACTGCCTGTAAGTGAAAGCGATACAGGCAACGAGAGAGATGGATGCCCGATAGTTTCCTCTATCTCTGTTTAGTTAAGCTGCGATTGGCTACTTATTAACCAATCATATTCCCCAGCCAACCACAGAGCTCAACTAGAAAGAGATAGTGGCATCTATCTATTATCGCTTGATTCCATAACGATTAAATGGAAGTGCTTTGAGTTTGTAGTATTGATTATCAAAAGATTAAGAATGTCGCGTACTTATGTGGTATCGCACTAATAAATTAGTGTCATTACGCTATCATTGAGCGGAGTAGTTAACAATTGGACTATTTAAGCAGCCTTACGTATTCACACTAATTCACGTTATGACAATTATGAAGAATATGCCCAGCATGAGTGTCATGGTTGACTTTCTAGCTATTCGCTAAATTTACCTCACAAAGTTGTGTTCACGTAATCCGTGACTAGAAAGTATTGAGGTACCCGAATAATTTCTCATAAGCCCCGTCGTTTACGTTAAATACGTAATCTATGTACGCAAATTGTTTTTTTTATGGTTACTGAGAAAAAGTAAAACAATGTATTTGTGTATCTGTGTTTGCCAATTTGCTTGTTCAAGTGTTGCATACAAAATAATGTCGACACGCCACATGATGCACAGAAATAGAAAGTGAATCTTTAGAACTACATTTCTTCTTCTTATTCTACTGCTTATTTATTTAGTGTTGAAGAGTAATTCAGATTCTTTATCAGTGTAAATTCTAAGAGCTGTGATAAACGTGAAGGAGTTGTAATATCGATCAGATCTTAGAATAAACCACTTAAAGAAGGCTACAGCTGACGTTAATGTATCGCATACTGCAACGTCTGATGATCCCAGTATGTTTATCCACGTTTAGTCTAATGGGTAAAGAAACGGAACACAGGCAAAACTTCATACACTGGCAGCCACCTCGTGCACGAAGACAACCGGTTTATACCGTTTCGGGCAGTGATTAGCTTTAAGCTTTGTGGGGTGATATCCCATATTTTATTTGTTTTTAGTACACTTTTTAACTTTGTCCCTGTTCGGTTCTCAACTCTTAACCACATGGGCATTACGTTAAAATAGGATCTATGTTTTTTAATAAACAAGGACTGGCAAGCATATTGAACCTTTGAGATGTCGTAATGATATTAAACTGCACTTTTATTGAATTTGCACATTATTATCGCTTTTTAAATAATTGGACAGCGTTATGTTGTTTCACAAAAACGGAACTATCTCAACGCCTCTAAATATCGATAAGGTAATAATTATCTTGCGATAAAATCACTAATAAGTATTTGATTGACCACGTCATTAAGTATTCATGCAGTTTACTGTTCATTTCGTAAAACGCTGAATATTCATTGTTTATATAAATTAGATCCGGATCATATCTTCATGGCTATATTCATTTTCATCACAATACATCATCTTTAGCTGGTACATAGACCGTCTAGAATAGTATATTTTATCGTTAACATTTTAATTAAAGTAAATCGGATTCTCCGACTTTATTGTCATGCAGATACTGTTGCATAAAATAGAAAGAGCCATCGTACATACTATGAGTAATTGCGTAAATATATATAATGTGCACCGAGGTCAATGTTAGGAACAAGTTTCCCTACATAAACACAAACATAGCCGAGCTCCATTCTCACAACTGCAACTTTCATTTGTAGGAAACAAAAAATTGGTGCTTGTTCACACGACTGATGTATCCACAATGCTTGATATTATAATACAAAAATGTTCACCTCACACAGTGTACTAACGATGGACGTTTTTGCCGTTGAACTTTCCGTGGAAGTTAAAGTCACGCACTGACGCTGGGAACGAGAACTTTGCATTAAATCCCTGCTCTTTGAAATGGCAAGTGGCAAACACAACTCACTATTATTTTCAATATACATTGGTCTCAAAAATTACCAGTAAACACTATCAATAACTACTTACGTTTTAAATATAAAGCGTATTTAACGATAAATGCTTTAATTTTAGAAAATACGCACTTATCTTGGTCGATGTCGTGTCTGTGTCTATATTATTTACCATCACGATTTCTAGACACTTAGAGTTATTATCTAGTTTCACTATCAGGAACGGAGTTGCCTACCACTAAGACATTTGCTGTAATTATACCTACTTTTGAGAGTGGTTACGTACCCAGATGCAGCTAAGTAGAAATCTGCCGCAGATGTTTACCTCGTATGATCTCTATTATTTTTATCATTAGCGTGAATACGACTCGTGCTGTGTCGTTATTTACTTGACGTTGAAAAGTGTGATCTAGTGAATATACAACCTTAAGTAGTTTTTGTACCTCATTAAGCCACTAATGTACTGAACGAAATAATGAGTGCCTACCTCGCGGTGTGTGATCTTTGTTTTTTAAACTACCTAGGTCAATAACAGGATGTATTTCATTAGATTTGCAATTTAACAATCTATTAAGTCAGTTGTTATGTACAAACCTACATTGCATGGATATACGAGTATAGTGTTCATTCAATAGAACATCTACCTTTCAACATTTTACTTTTTTTACTTTCTAGTCTATATAGCATTCATTACGTTTAGATAGGTGTACTTTCCTGAAACTGCTGCTTCCACTAATAAATATGACGAATTATAGTCCATTGGCATTTTCTTATATTTTTTTAAATTGTCAGATACTATCTATTCATGTTACGACTCATTTACATTTATAAAATTTTGGTTACTTTCAAAATATAACATACGTAAAAGCGAAGAAGATTTAAGTTTTTTATTTCGAAATGTCGGTAACTGTATACTAACATACTTCATGGCCAAAAAATATTGCTAAATTGCATTGCATATAACCTATTAAGTTTTAACTAAATGTACAAAGTAGTTGAAAATGCATTCAGTTATTCTTGGAATGTTTCTTTTATTTGAGTAATATTACCTGGAGTGTCTCCTGGGGTTGACATATCCTACGCCGGGCATTAGTTGCTCGGGAGGATGAGTAAGTGAAATGCGTGGTCTAGGAGGTGGAGGCATGTACCCTGGTGGCACACACCCATATAGCGGCTCGTACAACATTGGGTGAGGCATGTATGTTGGGTCTTCTACAAACATTGACCTTCGACGATCCACTGGAAGAACAATTTAATGAAATCAATAAAAAACAATCATTATTATCAAGGTAAATCAGTACTCATAATTTTTCTGAGATAACTACATCCTAGTTATGGAATCTGTTTTACCATAACGCTTGTCCAGCCCTTAAATCTTTTTTTAATGTAACGTTCAATGTTGATGTTAGATATATAATTCTCAAAAAGGCACATAAGGCACTTACATGAGAACCTATTTTAACTTAAAAATAATACAATTTCATACAATGGTCGTCTGGAAAGTTTTGATATTCAATATTATAACACATGTTACCACCCACAGGAGAAAAGCAGTAACCATTAACTAAAACAAATTGGGTAAATTATATTCAAGTACCTATGTGAATCGAGAAGTACTAGTAATCCAAATTTAACAAGAGTGAAAGTGCAAGAAACTGCTAGTAAAACAACAATTAGTACAACTAAGTATTTATTAGCAGTGGTGATTGTAATTTATCGGTACGTTCCTCCACCTCAACTTCTTAATTCTTGAACAGATTAGGATAGATTGGGGTCGCTAAAATCTTTACTTGATTCCTTTCCGCGGGATACTGACTAGAGCGTAATTCGTTTTTATTTGCACAGTATGGTGATATGTTTTATTTCTTATTCGAAGATTCGGGCAGAAGCCTCTCGCTTCTGCCCGAATCTTCACTTCTTCAGGAACATTATTTAGAAAGTTCACGACGGTTCTCTCTTTAGCCATTATAGGTACAAGGTTTGTGTAAGCACCTGCATTTGAAATGAAGAAATAACGTTTTCTTAAGTTTAGAGTTTTTGTGGTATCCCGTTGTCTGTTACAGACACGAGCATATTGGGTACACACCTTGAACGAATAAACGTTACAGGGCCTTGTGACTATAGTAGTCACATATGTGTAACAAATTAGTATTTATTTCACATATAGTAGTCATAGACATATTAATTAATGCAGGACAGCGTAACGTTGAGTACAATTTCTCCTGATTGAAGGTCATAAATTCATAATTTACATTAAATGTCTGGGCTCCTATGATAAGTCTTGACGAATTCATAAAACTGGGATAGGCAACAATGGTCTAACAATTAAATCAAGAGGTGGATACTGGAATTGTTTTTTACTTTTTATATCGAGCGTGTTTCTTAATTGGTCTTTGGTTGGTTTTAATTGTAGATATACATCTCCCAGTATTTGAATGAAAACTAACGCACCAGGAAAATAGAAACTAGATTGAGTAGCAGACATTAGTTTTCATTTTTTGAGAATTACATGTTATATTCTCTCCTAATAGTCGCAAGGTTTAAAACACCATTGATTGATTACGAAATATTTATCTACGGCTTGTATTCAACAAAACCTTGATTGCTAATTGGCTGTGTACTGTGAAATCCCTAATTAAAGTCTTACACTACTCACGGGATTTGACGGGATGGTATTATCAATGCTATTGTTTCACAGAACTATAACTATGAAATATACAGTTTGGATGTTTAAAAGTTTTTTTTTAAATTGAACAGAACTACTACCTAATCATGAGAACTGGCAGTCAAATAGAAATATTCTTTCGCATTTCAAAGTCCAATTATTGAAGAAGGTTGTACTATATATATACCACAACAACAATTTTACATTAGACGGGTGAAGCTATATTTTTGAAACTTACGGAAAAATATAAATATAGAGGTCCCTTTAACCTTAAGAATTTATCATTATTGTTTGGTCAATAATCGTAATTATGGAAGAGGTGCCTTATAGTTTATATTTTTAATACTAGAAAATTAATTCTCAGAAATATTTCTTTCATAAAAAAATTGGTCTCTAGTTATTATTTTAATATTAAAGTGTTATGAAATGCAACTGAATATCTATTTATTTATTTAATAGTATTTGTAACTTTTAATGTACCTTATGTAAAGTATAGTTTTTAGTTTGATACTTAACGACTTTGACATTGATTTTGGTACGTATTTACGCAGGCGACACCTAAAATGTGTATCATCATTAAAACTAGTTAATAAAATTTGCATTTTGGCGTTGTTTAAAATAAAAATAAAACGTTTAAAATGTAAAAAGAAACACAACGTATTGTTATAGTATAGTATATACATATATTAGTATAGTATAACGACAAGTACTATTATTTGAAGTGGTTTTCGGCCTACCTTCTATTTATTATATCAAAATCTTAAAGAAATAAAGAACTAAACATTTATTATTGCGTTAAAAAATGTTATCAATTGTCCAAAACCACCTACAAAGCAGTGAGAAAATCAAGAAAACTTGAACTACTTAATCTATGCATGAATGCATGCAAGAAGGTATTACTTCCGAAAGCAGGATTATGAAAAAAGGCTACATGAAAGAATGTAAATGAAACTTAAAAGAATAAGTACAGAATTTAACAACCGTTTAAACATTTCTTACTTGCACTTGAATGAAAATACGGTTTACAAGAAACACCATACCTTCGTAATCACTTATTCAATTTTAATTTGACATTTTGCACTATATTGCGCATCGATAATAATGAACCGAAAGACGCACATGTAGTCAGAGTGACGTTCAGACATATTATATAATGACTCAACAAGAACAAACAAAGAACCTCATCCTTTTTTGAACTCGGTCACAATAATGTTATGGCATTCTACATGTTTAAAAACAGAAAAGTATAATAACGGTGTCAAAGGATGTGACAACTTTAAAATAGGGTAGGTAAGCATAATAATCATTTTTCTACATTTATAGGATTCTTAACAATAGATTACTTACAGGTGTAGAAGTGGGTATTTATAGACACACATATTGTTGAATAAATTTGCGTTAATATAAACATTTAATAGCACACTTTCTGAACTATTACTTTCTATATCTTCGTAATAATAAACGTATATTCGAAAATTAAGTCCACTAGAATTTGAGATTGTTTAACATGTTTAAAATAATAAGAGTATTATCTAGATTTTAGCGTAAAATATATTTTATTCAGTTCTATTAAAATATACTTAATATTAATTAAAACATGATACTTATGTATATAAGTAATGAATAGAGCAATGAAAGTCTGGTATTAAGTATTTATCACATCAATTAAATGTCATTTACTTTATAACGAAGTATTTTCAAATCACTTACTTATTGGTCTCTCGCCGTAAATTGCAGTTTCAAGAGGATAGTCAGGGCCCACGACTCTTGACGCTCTACGGCTATACACTGCATAGTCTGGTGCAAGGACTTCTGCAGGCGGTGTTTTCTTCCACCTCGGAGGTGGCAACGGCGGTTCCTCTCCAGAATCATAGTTTTTTGTAGGAACATAATAAAAACTAGCACTGACTGGTTCGCCGACAAAGTCGCCTTGACTTGATTCTGTTGTCTCGGCTTGCATCACTCCGTAAGCCTCGTTGTCCCATGGATCCAAATATACCCTATGATTACCCGAGGTAGCCTGGGTTTCTTCACCTTCGCTGTCGAAATCAACAGTGGCCCAGTACGGGCTGCCTGCATGTCCTGGCATAACTTTTAATATATGAAACACTGGAACACTATGGGAGTAGTCACAACGATTCTAGGATATTTTGCGTACTGAAGCACCAGTCATTTAGACACATAACTATCACCACACGTTCTCGCGGTACCGTCCAGATATGGTATACTGTGTAATTTATATGCTGTGCTTGGAAACACTGTTTGTTATGCTAGGCACGGTTTGAGTGGACATTCGACAAAAGAACGATGCAATCGGCGGGAGAGTGGTGAAGCACATATGCGCGGGCGCACGCGGTCGTATTTATCTTCAAATGGCGAGGCGTGTGCGAGCCATCGCAACGAACGTCGGGGAAGATGCAATAGATATTAGAAATGTAAACGAACTGAGGTTCACACGCAAACTTTGAAAGCCGTTTTGAGCATTATTTTTTTTGCAATTTCAAATTGATTAAGTCAAAATAGAAGCAAAAATCTGCATTTGAGAACATACTTCTTTACTTTCCTAGATATTATTAAGCTTTATAAAATTGTTTTATTATTGGGCAGGATAAATTTATGACAATAACTATGATTATAAGAGTGTTGTCTAATATGAGAATGTGAGGAGTGGGTGTTAATAAATACTACACAACAGCAGCTGATGGTACTTAATTCAGTAATAGCTACCTACCACATTGAAGACAACTGATTACGGATATTTAAGGTGGGCGACAATTATTGAGGATGTGGGTGATGCATTACCATAATGATGTAAGCGAACAGTCGTTAATATCTATTCATTTTTCTTCAATTACTTACTTGAAATCATCGTTGAAGAATGTGAAAAGGTAACTATTTTAAATTTGGTAAATTTAAAATAGTTCCCTACAATATAATGCCCACTAGATATATACGTGCGTTAACCTACTAATATCATTACGTACCTACTCATTTTGGAAATGCTACTCTGGAATCAAAAAATATTTGGTTTCTGTCTGTATTATATAATCTTGTCTTTTATCTTGTCAATTTTTTTTCTTCGTTTTTATGTCTTATAGGCTTCATATATCGGTACACATAAATATGTACATGTAAACGTACCTATAAGCTGTGACTGAAAATCGATTAAAAAGCGTTTAATATTATACTAGTTTTATGGTTTGTGTCTGCAACGCAGCACGGCGAACAGCAGAGGAGTGCAACGTCAGGAGTCGCAGGATCGGTTTTGATCCATGCAAAAAGTTTTATCTACAAATACCTACTTATGTATTATTATTTGCATTGTTCAGAGTTTTTTATGTATTTTTTTACAGGGAGTTATTAATTACAAAAAAGGGTAAGTATCTTTATTCAAGGAATAAAAACTTTCATAAGTGGTATTCATATTTGTAAATGATATTGCCCGCCGCTTCACTCGCGTGCTTATTTCTTATTTCATGTTTCTAACTTTGAAGATGACGACCTTCCATACAACTGTCCAGCCCTTACTATATATAATTTCCCCCTTATGGGTAAAATTTTCCAAAAATCCTTTTTTACAACATAAAAAGTGTCAGCTTCCTGAATTTCAGTTTTTTCAAAGTTTATGTTTGTAGTGTAGCAGTTAAGGATCTGCGTTGACGAATCAGTCAGTCAGTCAGAGCAAGTAATTTTATAAATATAAAGTAACGGTTTCATTCTCTTGTATATTTCGGGGTTGCCCGACTAAGAAAATGGTAGATTTTCAAATATAATATGTTGGTAAGGTTTATAAAATCAGGGTACCACAACATAGGCGTTTAAAATGATTCGTTAACGAGACCATCTATTAAAATTAATTACAGAAAGTCGTTGATATAATTCAATATTTAATGTTAAAAGCGGAGTGATCGTCACAGAGATTAGCGTGTTTAAAATAATAAAGAAACAAAGAACTGTTGGGATACATGTATTACTTTTAGTATAATTAGAGTAGATTGTGGGATCTGATCGTAGGGAGATTCCGTATGGTCGCACCTGATACCCGATGAAAAAATATAAAAGCTAAAATAATATATGATAACAAAAAAAATTGAGTTGAGACTGGCTAATCACCTATATTGTTCCAGATTTGGAACCGCAATGATGAGCGCTATCATATTTTATTCTGTATCTGAGTGTAATTTACCTACAATACGTATGTACTTGAAATTTTTGTATTTTTTTGTATTTATTTATTTATCTCTTTATTGTACACCATTGAAGTATTATATATACAGATATTAAATACATTGCGGTATAACAATAAGCGGTCTTATCGCTCACAGCGATCTCTTACAGACAACCTTAAGACGGATATTGTCAAAAAAATTAGGGTAGCCTGGGATGTACTATTATAACAAATTGAAAAAATAAATAAAAAATTCTAATAATAAACATAATATATAATAATATATACGTTATAATAACTAATATATACGTTACTAATATATACGTTACTAATATATACGTTTATAGTATATTATACATACAACTAATAAATTTAAATACATACAACATATATAAAGTACATAAATACACAAATTCCTCTATGATGCCAAGTAATGATTTGTGACTAGCTTTTTAAATGTTTGCAGTGATTTGGCTTGCCTAATTGCTTCCGGTAGATTATTCCACAGTCGAACTGCTTGCACTGAGAACGACTTGTCAGTGAATTGTGTGGTGTGCCTGGGCATTTTTAACTTCAGATTCTCTGACGATCTCAAGGACCTGCAATGTGAATTATGTAAAAACTCAAAACGTTCTTTGAGATAAGATTGAGTATGTGGGAGGAACAGAGTACTGTATAGAATAGAAAGAATACGGCGAAGGCGTATAGGTAACCATCTGAGCTTAATTCAATACTCAGAAATATGATCATATTTGCGTAAGCCGAATATGAAGCTGATGCGAACATTTTGGAGACGCTCAAGTTTATTGAATTGGTCTTCGGAGAGATCTACATAGCTAACATCACCATAGTCCAGGATGGGAAAAAGAAGAGATTGTGCTAGGGTGCAATAGATAGCTGGCAGTTGTTGCCAATTTACTGTGGAGCTCATCCCAGAACTACCTAATACAATTACATGAGTTTTACATGGGTAAATCCATCTAAAACTCATGTAATCAGGCCATACTCCTTACTCCATTTACATATTTGTGTCATATACCTGTTAATGTCATTGATAGCTTCAGATAGTATAGCCGGAGAAGCTTGAGTATAAATGTGGAGATCATCTGCATAAAGGTGGTAGGAAGAAAGTAAGCGATAAGCGAGTAATGGGGATAGCACGAGAGGAACCAAGAGGAATAATTATTTTCAATACAAGCACGCTGCTGACGACCGTACAGGTAGCTATGAAACCAGTCCATTGCTGTTGGAGATATGTTAAGAGAGCGCAATATTCCGAGCAAGATATCAAAATCAACGGATGTATGTTCATTTGGAAAGATAAGTGACTGGTTGACGACAAAAGGTTTGCCACTCTGAGTGGGACTAAAATATATCTATCTATATAAATAAAATAAATATATCTGTCTATCCCTTCGGGCCTAAGGGCCTGAATGTATTTACGTTTTTAGATTTAATTTTTAAAATAGTTTTAGAAACGGAGTGGTAACTGTTTAGATATATGTCTACTATTGTATATAAGTAAGACTGCATGGATGGCGTAGTGTAAACCTCTGAAAGCGGTTGCCACGCCACTTCCTACTACGGCGAGTGTTATGGGTTCAAACCCATTTGTACTGTGTAGCTGGGGACTTTACAAATAAACATGAAACGGACACAAAGAACACTCAGACTCAGAACAACAATTTTTGGATCACACAAAGTGTTGTCCGTTGTCGGACCCACAAACCTCAGCGTAGTAGTAAGGGGTGAGGTGACCGCTTAAACCACTACGCCATTCGTGCGGTCAACATAAAACCGTATAAAAGTGTAAAACAAAAAAACATATATAATGTTACCCTTATTTAAAATAAACGCATGGAATAAGGTATTGTAAGTGGCAACACCCCAAGTGTCTTACTTCGCGCCAGAAATGCGTTGAACGTCAAAATGTGTTGCTTTTTAGTTCCATTTTGAAATGATGTCTGATTACTGCATTAACGAGTTTTAAAATCGTAGAATATTAGGTTACATTGTATTCAAATAAGTACGTAAAACTGTGAATTTTGTACTTCATTAATATATATTATCATCAATTGTGTTAAATACATAATTGTGTGGCAACTTGGCAACGTTTTATCTAGTAATCGTTGGTGCTGAGACTGCCAATGTATTATATGAAGAAAGCTTTTGTTTGATATATACATACTTACCTATTTTCAGTTCATTTAATTTGTGACAGTAGAAAAGGCATGCTGACATTTAAGCGATCATATAAAAATAAGTAGTTCATGCATCGTCTAGTTACTTTTTCAGATATGCCGGAAGAACCTATAACTTGCACAGATGTGCAAAGTGCACTTGAAAATTTGGAAAAATATGATCCGAACTACCCTGTTATTAGAGTTCGACATTATAAAACAATACAAAGTGCTTTAGAAAGGGATGAAAATCTTAATAGAGAGGATCTGAAACGGCTACTTGCCGTATGCGTCCATGACATCCCGAATATGAAGTACACAGCCACAGTTATTAACATAATTCCAGCGATTTTGTCCAAAGTCAAGGTAGTAAAAGATTTTATAATTTTTTGCATAATTTATTACATAGAAATTAAAATTTTTGTCTACAAATTTCTAGGAAGGCAGTTATGATCCTCCACCTGACTTAGTACCATCTGCAGCAGCGTTGATAAATCTCTTGAAGACGATAGCTTTATTAGGTAAGGTAGAATCATTAATGGCTCTGTGCCTTGATACACTGTCAACTTATCCAGAAGACACACTAATGATATTGACGGAACAACACTATGAAGATGTAATAGAAACTTTAAATGTATGCTGTCATACTAGGATACCAACCCATATTAAACTGCAGGTATGTCGCGTCATTACATCATGATCATAAATCAATATCCATACTTTTCTAATAAATGTGAAAGCAAGTTTGTTTGTTACACTTTCACTCCTAAACCTCTAAATCGTTTTCAAAAATTTCGTTCACTAATGGAAAGCTACATTATCAGCGATTGACATAAGCCACTTTTTACCATGTAAACTGACATACATGGCTTGGTTATAATACTCTAACTATCTTCACCTGGCTTATGTGGTACCCATTAACTTGAGAATTTTTATTTAAACTGACAACAAAATTATGTTATTAAAAACTGGCTTGCTTGATGGTAAAAATAAACTCATGCACTTAACCCCAACTAGGTTAGGAGCATTTAATTAGCATGACTGTAAACTATTTTTATTTGTAAAAATTAATAGTTATGTTGTCCATAACGTAAGCAAAAAACAGTAAATTACTGCAATGTGATGGTAGAGTAGCTATTAATATTTTTCTAATGGCTAACCATTCCAGACTTATTAAAATACCATTTTTGAAAATATCTTTTTCTAGAATAAATGAATTAAGTGATGTGGCGACTGCTTAAAATGCTATTAAAATAAATTTGTTTTAGGTGTGCAATCTTTTACACAAATTATTAAAAATACTGCCTCGAGAAAAGAAAAAAGAGTTTGTTGAATGTGGAGTATCAGTGTGGTTTTCAAAGATCATACCGACTGTGATGGCTCATATGACAGTTTCAGGCTCAGAAACGAATATAGAAATTCTTGAATTATTGGCTGATGATCTTGTACATGTCGACTATGCTTACAATTCACCATGGTACAACATATTAGAATGTATTTGTAACACAAAACAGTAAGTAATTTATATCTATATATACATATATCAATATTAAGTTAGTTTGCGTATGCTTCAAAAACTCAAAGTTCTGCACCTGCAAGCTTGGGTTTTTATCTATTTTTTGCAAACACTGTGCCAAAGTGAAGCATGGCATTGAGCAGCTAATTTTATATGTATATCAAAACATGAGATTTAGGCAATGCAGTTTACTGCAACTGAGAATCCCTTTTCACTAATTTTTTTTGAGTCAACAGAAATGTTTTGGATTACTTGTTAGTAATAATTTATTTATGGGAAGTTAAATTTGGAGAAGCGCTGTATGCAAGTGGGGAGTAAAATAATAACTATTATGTTGGTAGTAACAGCTTAATATGCACACTCATAAACAGTATTATGAGTGTGCATATTAACAAATAAAAATTACTGTTAATAATTGTTTCCACATAAAATAATAAAATATTACTACTATTGGGATGGGACACTTTACTGCACATTCAAATAAGTGTAAAATAGATGTTAAATGTATGAAATAGTTTTAATTACCTAAATGATTATTATTAAATGTTAAGATTTTGTAGAACAGATACTGCCCAAACAGTTTGTTGTGCACATGTTGCAAAAGAAAATGTTATCCTATAATTAAGTACTAATCAACAATTTGCTGTGCAATATTTCAATACACTTTTATTTTATAGATACCCAGCTACAATGAAAAATCTTTTACACGCAGGCAGTGATGCTTGGTACAGACTGTGGATAGTATTCATAAGACTACTCAAACATCAAATAACACAATCTTTGAGCAGTGTTGGTACTCCTATAAATTCTATGTTGCCTGTAGTGGAGGCAGCATTTAAATTAGATATAGGAAACAGATGTAAAGCATTTGAGTGCTGGAATGTACTCATTGACAGTTTTTCTACTGAAACAAATGAAAGTAATATAAATAAAAGAATAAAACTACTGATCATTCCTCTCAAATCAAACAATGCTAAACATGAAGAAACATCTCTAGCAAAGTTCAAATGTTGGTGGCATTTAATAAGAAAATTCCAGCATAAAATGGATAAGTTTCTTGACATGGTATTGGTTTCTTTCTTACATTTTTGCTTTGGAAGACACAATGCTGTGGACAAATCTGTATTAGTACCTGGACAACTATGTGCAAATATGAAAAAGCATTGTAATGAGGCCCTCGTAGATATGGTGGGACATGTCAATTGTGATGGTTGTATAGAATTACCCAAATTGAAGGGTAAAATAATTAATACAAAACATTTAGTGGATAACTGGAATCACTGGATTTATTCACTGACATCAGTCATCATGAGGACAGCTAAAAATGACTGCGGCTTGACTAAACAGCAAATGACATGCTTGTGGAAATCATTTCTTATGACGATTGGTGAACTACCAGAAAACAATATAAGAAAAGATTTATTTGCTGAGATATTATCTATTGTAGCTCACCTTGTGCAGGTATTAGGTCTAAAAGTTTGTTCATTATGAAATGAAATAAGGGTATATCAAGAATATGTTTGCCAATTTGGCCATAAAATGTGTTAATAATGTGTTTTAATAATTACACACTAATAAAAAGTGATAGGGAGATAACACTACTTATCTGTCTGTACTAGTTATTGAAATAAAAAAGTATATAACTTGATGGTTACTACTATCACACATTTTAAATTTCAAATGAATAAATTATTAGCTTTTATTTTTAAAAATTAATATCGCTGCTGAATATTTTTATACCCTTATTACATTACTAAGAAGTTGTCTTCAAGTACAGTATACTAAAATATTATGTTTTATTATCGTAGGAATGTAAATCAAACAACCAGTTTTTGGAAGTTACTTTTAATATTCTCATCTTATCATTATTTGATGAAGATAAAAAAATCAAAGAGCTTTTGAAGTCAAATAATAGTCCAAATGATCCAATTATCAGAATTATTAAGATTATCCTGGATTCTTCCTTGCACGGATTCTATAACAGGTAGCCTATTATAAACAATTTATATGATTCTGCTGTCATACTGTCACTTGCAATGACTCCTATATCGTTAAGTCAAGTATATATTCTGTAGTGCAAATTCTTAGTATTGAATGTTGTATGTAGTGATGTAATACGACTGTACTGTGATCCTGAGTGTTGTGGGTTCAATCCCCACATGGGACAACACTTTTATTCTGAGTAGGGGTAATTTGGATTTTAAATGTTTTTACATGTTTACCATGACGCAACAAAATTATATTTTTTGTCTCAAATTTATAACTTTAAAAGTTCATTTTGTGCATACATACTACACATAGAAACCCAAGCTCTGAGACAAATATTTGCAGGTCATACAAACATTTGGTTTGACCCAGGAATCCAACCCGAAACCCAAACAGCAGTCACTGCATACATCTTATTAAAAATTACAATTACATAATTTTTTGTTGTCTTACTGTTATGATTAGTTAGAAGCTACTTGTTCTTAATTTCAATACAATATCATATTTAATTTTGCTTTTTACCAACAACTATGTTGGTTGACCTTGATATATGATATCAATTTAAAACCAACATCAGTTTAGTTGTTCTGATAGTCCAAGAACCTTAAATTTTGTTTATATTGCAGCCTAGACCCAAAGGAATTGGTTACAAAGTTTAAACTATTCACAAATTTGATGTTGGATGAAGCAGTGTGCACACCAAAAAGTATTGTAGATGGGCTTATAAGTGACTTGCCTCCCAATGAATATGCATTAATGTTATGGACAGCATTAGCTGAATCAATACATGAATCGAAATATGACAGTTGTCTACTGAATACATGTGATATGATGTTGTGGCCACTAAAGTCAATCAATGTGTTTACCAAAGTAAGTGTTTTTTTTAAACCTAAAATATTGATGTTGCAAAGAGTAAACTAGTTTTGACTTACCAATTTATATTTCAGGTTCAAATACCAGCAATGACTTGGTACACAACATTTGATTTGATTTATCCAAAACTCAATAAGACTGAATTTGACAAGGAGATCTCAGAAATTTTGTTTTCAGATGTTGATGTTTCTAAGCTACCTATTTCAACTGTTTACTTCAAGCTGTGCATATTATTAGCCATATTGAAGCACAAATTTACTGAAAATAATTGTGAGTCATATTTTTAATTTTTTGATATTTGTATGAAACATGTAGTGGAGCAACAGATGATTAGAAAAGGCATTCAGAAGTGTTCCCATTAGTAGTCAACAAGCTTCAGACTCGGCCCAAGACCCACTCACTGTAATCTTGGTGACTGTTGTTCTAATCTACAGATCATTGTAAAACCAGTGAGATAGAAATAACGTAAAGAAACAAAATTAGCACATAAGGTTTTTTAATGTTTTTTTTTTTAATTTTCATACAGAAATATTTTTATTTAAACATACCCTTTTAGTTTTGTTATGTACTAGTTTTGTTTCTGTTAACGATTTTTCGAGATATATTTTAATAATTCTAATGGATAGCCTAGTTAGAATTAATTACAATATCATTGTACAATTGTTGTTTTTAACGAGGCAACTTGGGTACAGCTTGTTACTCTGGTGGGGGTTTGATGATTCTTTAGTAATATGATGTTGCTCATAAAATGATAATGTAATACTTTATGTCTATGAATGTGTATTATACATGTCGTCATATTATTTACAGGTTTCTCATGTGAAGAAGAAATAAATTTGTTACTCAATCTTACAAAAAGTATTAATAGCTATGAGTTTTTTGAATCACTTATGCCAATGCTGGTTGATAGAATTGTAGCTACACTAAGTATTGTAACATCAAATGTAAATGAGACAGTCACTGCCCTTATTTTAGTTTGTGTTAAAAATGTACTTCATGTATTAACTCAGGCATGTAAACAGCAATCAGAATCAAAGCCAGTGGTAAGTATTTAACAATATTTCCCAAATACTTATCCCTATGCATACGTCCCATTCTACGAATTTATTTGCGACGTTTATTTAGACCCCCTTTTTCTTCCAGTATATTAACAACTTTGTATTCACACTTGAAAATATATGCAACTCTCTTTATTCCATTGTTAACTTTTGTTCATAGGCACTTCTTCGTTACTTATTAATACTTACAAATATAATTTTAGGTTGCCCACATCATGCTTTTAGTTGCAAGTCTATTAAAACCTTTGGAAACATTATTTACTGTGGAGTCATATTCGAAACTTATACCAGCTATGACATACCACCTATTAAGGTGTTCGTCTCTACTGTCTGAACACTCCTCGACACGTATAATAACTCTTTCTGTGATGAAAACAATATTAACTAGAACTAAATCTACAGATATAAATTACGCTAAAATAAATAATGTAATTAGCGATATTGAAAAAATCAAGGTTCAAGTGATGGCAATAAACGATTTGACTTCTGAAACTAACACATTCCCTACTCCACAAACAAAAGAAGTTCCAAAACGGACTAAGAAAAACGAGACGAATATTGTAGATACTGTCGTTGAAAATGGGGAGGAGTACGTTGTTGTAAAATCAAATTGGAAATTTAATCCAAGAAAATTGACAGAAAACCAGAAAGAAAAACTACAAAGGAAACGTGAAGACATACCTGCTCTATATCAAGATTTGTCACAGTCACACGATGAATTTAAATTTATGTCTTGGAAGAGTGATCCACAAGACACTAATTCAAGTAGCAAATCGGAGAGCAAATCTTGTAAAGCAGATGATAATGAAAAAGCTCTAGAAATTCTGAAAAATTTACCAAGTACTAATGTAGTTCCAAAGATTTTGGAAACAATACTTTCAGAAAATGAGAAACAGAGCAGTAATGCAAATGAATTGTCGCTAGATAATTTAAGGAAGGTAGATATTTCTACTCCCACAAATAAATGTTCTAAATCACCCCGTATGGCTTTGAAAGACCGTGTCTTTCGCAATGTAAGAAATTTGATAGAGGGTTCCGGTGTACAGAAAGAAAATAAGGAAGCAACTGAAGAAAAAAGTAAAACCGAGGTTGTGAATAAAACACCAACATCTGTTAAAAGTTTAATATCTAATTGTATAAATTCGGCACCTCCCTTGCTAGCCGCTGACAGACCTGCGCGCGTAAAAAGAAAACCTAAAAAATTTGAGGACTTAGAATTATTGATCTCCAAAAAAAGCCGCATGTCCCTACCAGACGTACAATCAAGCCAAACACATCAATCTGATAATAGTGTCAATTCAGTAAAAAGTAACCAAAATGAAAATGTGATACATACCTCGGACAATAATGAGATAAATAGTTCCAATAACATGCCAGAATGTAATGACAAAGTTGCCGATATAGAAATTGGTTTTAATGAACAAAATACGACGGAAATCGGTTTTAAAGATAGTGAAAAAGTAAAGGAAAATATTAATGCAAGTAAAAGTCGAGAAATAGATGCGAACGTATCTGCTGCTGTTACAGATGAAGATGTTATGGATATTTCACTTCAAAACACATTGGATGACGTCGGAGAAATGTCGATATCTAAATTGTCCAAAGATGGTAACCAAATTATTGCAAAAGATGACAGCGTCGGGGAAATTTCGATACCTAAATTGTCCAAAGATGGACACCAAATGATTGCAACAGATGACAAGGAAATATCAACCTATAATATAACAGTGGCTGAGACGAGAGTGGCAACTCCCACCACATTGAAAGCTGACAAAGATTTATCAACTCATTTTAATAGTAATTTATTGACATACGTAGATGTAGCCAATGCTACTGATGTTAAAGAAGTATCAAACTCGGCAACATCTAAAGTATTGACGCCGAAAGTTATCAAAACTGGTAAAACAGTAATAAATTCTGATATAACCAACGAAATTAAAGAAGTGTCATCTACAATATCTAAAGATGCAGTGATAACACAGGGTATCGGAACGCCTAAAATATCAAAGGATGATAAAAAGGTATCAGATAATGACATTAAAGACAAATCACCTAAGGAAATAAAGAATGCTGAAAAAGAACTAAGGGCTCCTCAACAACCTAAAGATTTTAAACAAATATCAACACCAAAATCAACTAAAGAGATTAAAGAAAAACCAATCACTGATGTCTTTAAAGAAGTTAAAGTGTTGTTGACACCACAACAGTCTAAAGAAATCAAAGAAATGTCGACCCCTAAACAATCACCTAAAAACGATGAACAAAAATCAGCAGCTAAGAAAAGTACTGTCAAAAAGTCTAGAATTGAGAAAGAGTTGGCCATCGATACGGTTGAAGGTCATCCTTTTCTAAAAATTCAATCTGACAAAAGATTGACTCGGAAAGCTTTGGAATCTGCGAACTCTGGCCGAAGGAAAAGTTTAGTGGATAAGTTAAACAAATCAAAATCTGGAGGTAGTGTAAGTAGCTTAAAAAGTGAGAAGAAAACGAAAGGTAAAGAAACTGAAAATACCTCTTCTTCTTCTTGCTCCACTGTTGTAGTAGATGAAAGTCAAGAAAGAGATTCTGAACAGAGTGGACAAACATCATCTACTGATGAGCTTCCTAGTTCTGATGATTTCATAGAGAGTTCACAGGATTCCACGATAACTACTATATCAGTTAAATCTACAAGGAAGACGCCGAAAAAAATACCAGTCGTTTGTGTAGAAAAACTGAGTAATTCATTGGACAAGGGTGTAGTTGCAAATAATTCCCAAAGCATATTAGATCGTGTTATAGGTGATGTAAACAAATCTTTAGGCAATCATGAATCCAAAGATGATACAGTATTGCCTGTAAACAAAACTGCTCTGGAGGACAAAAGTCGAGAAGACTTAACTGAAAATATGGATACAGAGTCCCTAGAACAAAGAGATGTTTCGGATGACGTTATATTAATCAACAACCGTCGACCAGTTTTGACCGTTGCTATCGAGGACACTATCATATCTACCGAATCTCAAGAAGTAGCTGAAGCTGATACTCAACCAACAGATCCCAAAGAAATTATGGATATTGATGACAATCTTCCCTGTAAAAAATCGCTTGTAAATGTTGCCAACAACCATATACCTGAAACATATAGTGAGGGAAATTATTCCCAAGGTACTGATAAAGATCAATTTATAGTCGAAGAAGCAGTGGATACCCAACATAATACTGCTGATAATACTACTATAACATTATCTGATTCTGCCTTTATAGATAAAGAGCAGGCAAGTGGCGCATCGTCTCCTTTTAAAGATGAGATTCAAAGACAACAAGATTTTTTAAATAGCACCATTGAAATTTCTCCTATCAAAACAATGAGCCCTGATCGCAACAAAAAGTCACCTTCACCCGAGACTAGTAGTGACTATGTAGTTATAAAATTGACGTCACCTGTACATTGCAATGGGGAGCCCTTTGAAAAAGGGAGCTCCCCTGAAGTTTTCACCGAAGATAAAGCATCACTTGATAAAAGAGATCAATCACCTCCCAGAGAAGAAATAAGCGTGACAAATACTAGCCCTAGCTCGTCATTATCGCTGAAGAAAAATAGACCTCAAGTTCGTTCAGGGGGTAGAGCAGCACAAATGTTGGGTTTATGTGTACCTGAAAAAGTTCAAGCTATTGTAAATCCAGAAAGAAATGAATCTGAAGAAGTTAAGAAAAGTTCAACAAATACGCCTGCAAGAAGGAATTTGAGAATTTTATACAACTCTGTTGGAGAAAATACAGAAAGTAGTAGTAGTAATGGTACAAGTGACAATGATGACAGTGAACATTTTTTAAAGTTTAAAAGATCGCTTCCTGGGGTTGATTGCAGTCCGTCAGGACCAATATTAAAGAGGAAACTTGTAGAGATCACTGACGATGCAACTGTATCACCAGCCAGCAAAGTAAGTCTTGAATGTATTTATTATTTTTATTTATTTAATTTAAATTATAACATATTAATTATTATTGTAATTTTCAGAGGAAGAGAGTAAGTTTCCATGATCCGCCTGTGTCTACGACAATTTCTGTGCAGAAATATATAGAACCAGGGGCCATACGCTCCCCACAGAATTCAGCTCATAAACGTCTTGAGAGGCAGTTGCGTCAGCACATACCTCAAAGATCTCCGAAGCGATTAGATAATGTGTTTAAACTAGACACTGTGCTCACTAAAACTGTTCAAAGTTTCATAGAAAATGAAGTTATCACTATTCCAGATGACTCTCAGGCCTTTTCCTTAGACGAAACGCCCGTAGCGGAAGTTGTAAGAACCAGTGAATTAAATAATACAGATCCCATTTGCCCTGCTTTAATGGACTGTAAAGATCCTATAGAAAACGTCGCTAGTGAATTGTCTTCACCGACTATGAAGTCTTTACTCATTAAAGAACTAGAAGGGACAATAGAAACCATAGGAGATTTGGCAAAGCTGACAGAACTTGAAGTAAACAGATTATGTATAAAGGCTCCTAAAGTGACAGTGGCTAAAAAAGTTTTAACGGATTATGCCTCTAAACTAAATAAGATTTTAACAATAGAGGAGGCTGAATTTGCTCAGTCAATGAATGAATTGCACATGAAATCTTCCAATATTGAAGTACAGACAGATAAGTTTGAGTCTTCAGATACAGAAATGCAGACAGATGAAATACCAATGAGAGCGTTTTCTGCACAAACAGAAGCAGTGTCAATTACGCATACTAGTGTACAAACTTGTGAATCCGGCAGCAAAACAACTGCAGATATTGTAAAATCATGTTTATCAGAGGTAAGAATTTCTAATATGATTAAGTTGTCATAAATATTTAACGATGTCAATATTAAAATACTTCTGAGAAAAATATTGACTATATAGAGGTGCTTTGCCGGTTTATAATTACTGTACAATATTAGAACAGTAAATATATTTTGCACTCTGTCTCTCTGCGGGATAACAGCACTGTAAATAGAAGGAAAACTTGACACAAACCCTATACCAACCCGTCTGGCCAGGATGGTATAGTAGGCCAAAACCTACTAAGGAGAGGCCTATGTCCAGCAGTGGACTATTAAAGGCTGTTGATGATGATGATGATATATTTTTTTTAAACTGGAGTAGAAAGTCTTGTGCTTTGGTTGGGTGTATTTATTTTAATATGATACATATTAGTAGTTTAGTATAGTTGAACCTTATTATATTTCTAAATATATCATCACACTCTAGTTTGTGCCGGGTGGAATTTGAACCCATGACCTCCAGTTTAGCAGTTAGGGTCACTAACCACTAGACCAGTAGGCTTATCAAATACATTCCTGCCTTTCAAATATATTCTGGTTAGTGTGTACAATTAAAAAATATGTTATTTAAAAAGTTTAATTTTTTTTTTCAGAAATCAGATTTTGTGGCACAACTTGGCGAAAATTTAGAAGAGTCTGCAATAAAAGAGCTAAGTCAAAAATTACTGTTAAGTACGGTAACTGATTTGTTAATGAAGAAGATTACGCCTTCTGACACGAGAGTTGTTCTAGATAGATTACTGGAATATGAAAGTAGTTTGAGTAATGATAACAGTAAACGATTGTCGTTTATTAGAGATTATTTGTGTGACAAGTTTGACACAAAGGACTTACTTTTATTATGTAGTCAGATATTGAAAATAGTTTATGATAAGCCTGCTTAAACAAGTGCCTTTTTTGTTACATAGTACAATAGAGTCATTGTGACAAATATTATATGATCATTGTGATTAGTCCATATCGTATTTTCTATAAAAATATATGATGATTATTATACCATATGTTTGTTGATGGTTGAGTTGTACAGAGTGATGTTAGGTCCAACGAACATTTTTACCGTATTCTGTATCAATCCTTGTTGTGATATTGATATGCCTTAAAGTTCAAATAAAATGAATAAAAAACGTTAATTACTTAACTAATTTTTATTTTATGTAAAACAGGTAATATTTACATTATTCAGTCATGATCAGCGACCGCTAGCGATCACACACATTATAAAATATAGACAAATACTAAAGTCATACGAAGTTATTACCACAAATGCAATGACGCAACGGTCTTGTAAGACGAAAGTATTTGTTAGATATTAAGTAAGGTATTAGTTGTACAGTAGTTAATTTAGGTAGTGACCTGGGAGTGGAACATGGCATTAAAAATATAATATCACAACTAATATTTACAGTACAGTACAGTGTAGGGCAGGACAGGCTGACACAGGCTAGTCCAGTCCATGTTCTGAGCCACCGGCCGTAAGTCACGGCACTGTTAATTATATGAATTAATAATTATAATATATAGTGTGATGTAAAAGCCGTTAACTATTTTTAAATTTCGAACACAGTATTTTATTAGGTTTACAGCCTTTAGTCCAGCCGTCCTCGTCCTCGTATACACGTCATAATATATTAAACAGGTAATAGTTAAAGCTTGATTTCTATACTCGTGGACATATGTATGTTTGAAATTAAATTACACACACATATATATACCATTGATTATCACCAAACCCAATGCTTTTATATCACATATAATTAGCTTAGACTACTTAGAATATAGGGTTGTCAAATTAGAATAATAGTAAAAGATACGGTCATTTTGGGTGCCTTTGGATGGCTGTTTAACTTTGAAGAAAGATGTGAAATAGATTTATTAATTTATTAAAAGGAGAAATTGTTGTTTCAATATCGTCACTACGAATCGCAAAATATTTTTATAGTTTAAAAAACTGTTCAATAAATAGTTTTGCAAATGACCCACCATTTCCGTAGCGGCTTTATTAGAAGTGTTTGTTGCTCAGATACGTTTTTCAATTTTACCCAAACCATTAAATATTGAACTAAAGTAGGATTTCAAAAACATTTTAATTTTATTTTATTCGAAGTTACCCAGTCATGATAACTTTGAATTTGACTTTTTGGGAATTTCTAGGTTGTTCTGACGTTTTTTACGTAAATTTATTGTAGTGACGAAATAAACCAACTCAAAACAACACTAACTCAATAAAATTAACGTCTAATAAATATAGGTAAATCAGATTGTAGTATCAAAAATACCAAAAAAAATTCAAAGTTACCCAAATCGATGGTAGTAAAAGCGAATGTTACTGACTGAAATTGTATTTTAATTAAGTTGTAGGAAGTAGTTTTAATAAATTATTTTGTACAATGTTGAGTTTTACTAATACTTAGAAGTATTTATATGTGTATTTAATAATTGAACATGATATTCGGAACAAGTTGGAACGAGAGGTGATGACTTTAAGAAGTAAGTAGCGCAGTCGTTTCGCTTGTTAAGTTCTACCATTTCCAAACTATTTGGCTATACCTTTGCAAAGTAAACATCCCGGGATGAGGATCCGGGGAAGATCATTTGAGATTCCAAGTTTTATAAGAGAGAGAGAGCATAAAATTATGAATGAAATTTAGTTGATTACAATGAAGTTCTAAAACTAAAATAATTGGTATCATATTTCCGCGGCCTTTTAACTATGACAATATAGTTATTATATTGTATACTCTACGTATTCAGCCTTGTACCAAAATCTAAAATCCTTATTCTTAATAAATCCCTAGTATATTTAAACCGAAAAAGAAGAAAGAGAAACGTAACACAACATTTTTGTATAGATAAAAAACCTCTTCACCCTGTTTACATTATTTTTGTTACGAAGATTTAGAATAACGTTATTCATTCGCCGACTGTACTTTGGTGTATTCACAAGCTTTTAGGCGACTTCAAAAAAGGAGGAGATTCTCAACTAGTCGGATTAAAAAAAAAAAAATTAAGCACAAATTAAATAGAGGCTGACCGATTTTGGCATAAGGCTTTAGGCAAAGCTTCACTTATACTAAATACTAACGATTTATACATATTTATTATACTTACTTACAATACATAGGTACATCACTTGGTATTCTCCACATAGAAACATCCTTAAATAACTTATTGTCCCTTCACTTTACATGGAGACAGTCTACTGAAGGTAGTTTAACACTTTGGTCCATAAATTGAGCACTTGATTTATTTCTAACATTAATCAAAAAGGTTTACTGTCAGGGAAAGCGCATCTCGGCGACATAATCTAAATGTTCTAGGTTGTGATGTGAATTGGAGCGGCGCGGGGCGCGCGACCGATGAATGTTGTGCTGTGAATGAGCTCTCATTACTCTGTAGGGCGCGTCACGACGCTGGCCCGCGTCACTTGTTTTACGTGTTGGTGACATTAACTCTTCATCACGCGTTCTTGACGCTCCTGGCGGCTTCCGGTAGTTGTCGAAAACTCTACGATTCTCGTCGTATCGTTGTCGTTGCCAAGTACGGTCCATATCGTGACCGTAAAGATCTAATTCACCAGATGGCTGAAATTGACTTGAGCTCTGGCAGTAACTGGATCTTTTCCAACCTATGTCGTCATACTTTTTTCTATTGCTCTCTTCATCCACAATTTGCCGACGGTGCGACTGGTTTGAACTGCTTTCGCTCGTGTCCTCACCTGACGTACCTATTCCTAGATCTTTATCATCGCCATAAATTTTGTAAATACCGTTTGGGTTTAAATTTTTTCCGTTGTATATTTGATCCTTTAAGACTAATTGTGGATGTGGTAGACAATAAGGATTGGGATAATCTAGTTTAGTCATTTTAATGTCATCTTGCTGTTTTGAACAAGAGCCAGGACCAAAGAGCGATAAAAGTACTGGTAATAAGAAGAGACCGTGCATTGCCCCAAAGAATATTACCATAAATACCATTTTGAAAAATACTAAGAAAATGTAGCTATCAGCTAAGAGCAAGGCCACAACGCCGAGGATTGTACTAAAGGACCCTTGAACTATGGGCAATCCAAGAGAGTATAAGCACTCACTAACTTTCTCGTTAGGTGTTTTAGCTTTTGACGCCATGTACGCGTAACAAATGTGAGCCGTGAAATCCACTGAAAAACCGATGCACATGATTAAGTTAATCATAGATATGGAATCGAGATTGATATCCCAAAGAGCCATGTATCCGACTACACCGATTTCAATAGATATAATACTGAAAGCCACCCATAATGAACACAAGATGTTAGGAATGAAAATGAAAGACGTGATCATCATCATGAGAGCTCCGTAGCATAAGTTCTGAAGAGATGTTGGCCTCACAAGTTCAAACTGAAACAAAAATATTTTAAATATTAGATTTTTACTTCATGTTCGCCACTAAAATAGTGAATTTAAAAAATAACTCTTTATCACTCACCTGATCGAAAAAAACGAAATATGGATGAAAAACGGAGGCGTTGAGAGGGGACTCTGCAACCACTTTTCTAAGAGCTCTCACCATTTCTTTCTCATGATTTGTACCGCTGATGTTGACTGCCTGGATTAAGAATCTTGATGCAATGATCCTATTGCCTGCTTCGTTAAATTTTACATCCAAAGAGAATGGATTTGCAGGGAAGAGCCATAACTAAAACAAGGTGAAGTTGAAATAGTTAAGTTATTAAATAAAAGTGTGATGCAGGCGTTTTTATTAAAACAAAGAAATTATTTTGTGTGTATTTGGATCAGGGACGGATTAGTCATGTCGAGGCCCTTAGACAATTCAATCCTGGGGCCTATTTTTTGAAAGATTCAGCTCTGTAAGTCGATGAAGGGTTCTGACTAATCGCACCAGCAGCATCACCTGACTGATGCATAACTCCTCAGGAACTAACATCAAAAAGTGAGCCCCTAATCGATTTGAGGCCCCTAGACAGTTGCCTACTTTGCCTAATTATTAATCCGGCCCTGATTTAGATACTCACTTCCTTAAGGTTTCGAAGAAACTCGTCCTCGTCATCAATTGTCACGTTTAAATAATCGTTATTTCTCGACACATAGTCGACAAAGGTTCGGAGCCACGACTCTGTATACAGAGAGTTCGAAATGTAGGATGTATTTTCTAATTTCTGCGTAAGAGTCTCTACTTCGTCTTGGACTTTGGGATCCGAATAGTTGTACTCGCCACTTATGACCACCTGTAATAAGAAAATCTGATGTTATCTCAAAAGATTTAGAAAATAACACACGTGTGTGAAGATTTCAGTAACATTCGTAGATTTACTTTCTTTTTTTTAATGATGTATTAAAAGGGACCGTTACTTTCAGTGATCAGATTGTTGCTCATACTATGGCATTTAGGGCGCTCCACATACATAAATACACGACGACCAAGGTTAAGTTATGGCGGCTGAAGTGCCTCTATGTGGAAACGAATAAGATATTCGTGCCCTGTTAGCTGGTACCGTAGTTAAAAAATAAGGAAATAGCACGTAACTTAGCAACCTTAATCACCATCCTATTCATTCCGTGGGTGTCGTAAGAGTCGACTAAGGGAGCAAACTGTGCAAAACAACAGCAATGCAAAAGAAGGAACACTTGAAACAAACCCTATACCAACTCGTCTGGACAGCGTGGTATAGTGGGCCAAAACCTCCATTGTAAGGAGAGGCCTGTGTCCAGCAGTGGACGGTTAATGGCTGTTGATGATAGCAACCTTAAATGTGCAAATCTGAGTCTAATGCATTTTTTTTTATGTATATATATATGGAACTGACTAAGACGTTAGCTTTCTCTTCTGAAAGAGGGGACTTATTAGGTTTATACAGAAGAAAGTTAGATATTTTAAATAACAATTTCGCAGTATTTACCTGGATTCTATACGGGAATTCTCTGTAATACTGATCTTCACGATCAAAGAACTCGACAGAGTATGAATCCACCTTAGATAATTTCCTTCTTTCCAACCCTTCCTGAAGATTAGTTACTCCATACCCTGCACCAGCTAAGTAAGCCAAGAAAATGACAATTACCAAGGCTTTTACAGGGCCCTTATTTAGGAAATCTGCCATTGTAGTGCGGAAAAAGGCCATAATGCAATGTTCTCTGTTATCTATGGGATTATCGGGATCTGCTTTGTCAATACCACCGCTGCAAAAGGCTCTATACAACCACGACTTCTCTTCTGCAATTAATATAAAGAGTATACAAATATATATCAAATTGTATCCAAAAATTAAGTGAGTTTTATTAATAATGTATCAGGGATTATAGTCGGGACATGACAGGATAACGGAACAGATCAATTCATACTTTGACAAAACAATGTACTTGAAACTAAAAAACTTTTATTGTACGTAGGTACTTAATATGACTGTTTCTTAGTAACAATTTCTGCAATATTGAAGGTGCAGTATATACACAGGTAAATTATAATTTTAATTTTAAATATAATAAATAAAATAAGATAATATGTTACAACTACATACTTAGAAAGAAAACTACTTATTTTAAAAGCATAATTTGTGATGGTGATTTGTTTTTTTTAATCTTTGTATACAGAGAACTAGGTTTCTTTCTGTAAATCAAGACAATAGAAGCATACCTTTCCGTGCTCTTGATTCTGGCAAAACTTTCATAAAAGTAATAGTATGGCGATTTTGTTTTTCACGATAACCTGATACTGCTACGCAACCGGCGAAGAATGTTATATGCCACACGAAGGTAAAGCAAACAGCTAGACCTGTAAATTATGTATATTTATATAAATTTATGCACTTTTGTATATCGGCGACTTACTTAAGGCATTCTCTTCCAGTCAACCTTTGGGAATTGTAGAAATCGTCTAAGTTTAGTGAGAGTTATTACAAAATTCTTTGTTCAGACATTTACTTATCAAAAATTATAGATACTCGCCTGAATACATGCAGAATATTTGTACTGACGGGAACGGTGAAAAAATGCCGATGAAAAATGAAAGCATATCCGTTACTGAAGTTATTGTGATAGAAACTGCAGCTTCTGATAACATGATCGCCATCCGCTCTGGTACCGGCAGTTTAGGTGAAGCTCTTCTCCAAGCCGCCAACATTACAAACGTGTCATCGATCCCGATACCTTAAACGAAAAGATTAGTTCCCTTAATACTGCCAACATGGTAAGGTAGCATACGCCGTATTTGATAATTACCAGATCGCCAGCATATATATTAAAATTAGAAACACCCAGACCAAATCAAACATTAAATGTTCATGAACACAAATGTTTAACTTGAGCGGGAATCTAACCCGCGACCTTTGGCTAATAGCCATCCGTTACACAAACCACTAAGCCATCCGGTTGAACAAACTTACAACAATTACAAAGAAAACAAAATAAAATCATGAAAATAGATAGATATTAAAATATTATATTATAATATTATACTTAATATAAAGACTGATGTAGGACCTTTTAGGGCTCCAACTACCCGTAATGCTACAGATGTTGTATGACAAGCCAGCACGTCAAGCCGTCGTGGCTTGACGTGCTCTCCGAGGCACATGGTCACCCATCCATAAACTGACCTGGTTAGGATTGCCTAACTTTGCAATGTGTTAACCTAATAGGTTACCACTTAGCCACGAGTCCTTTTTTTACTTTTTTTTTTATTATTTTTATACTGGTAATGTCAGTAGGTAAGTATATCGCAGGCATCCATAAATGACGTCACCTTAATTAAAATTTAAGGATTCTTCACACTGATTCTTGTGGTGTCTGGTCAGATTTGTAGGACCGCTACGGAACTCCCCATCTGTGGTTTAACGTTAACTATTTTGTCAACTATTATTATTACTTAACAGTTTTGGAATTGTGTATTGTATCCTAAACATTGTGTAAAATTCACAAAAATAATCGATAATTATACTAGAATACAGCGTGCCGTGTGCTGTGAACTCGCTAATAAAACAATATAAGTTATAAAACTTAAAAACATAACATTTAAATAAAACATTTAGTCTTCACATAGCTTTTGACAAGCCCTTCGTTACGCGTCACATAGGTATATTACGTTAATAGCATGACGTAATTTATGGTTGACCTTATTATTTGCTCATTAAATATGTTAAAGGTAAGAAATACATTCTTCAATAATTAAAAAAATAAAATACTTACCTATCATTAGGAAGGGTGCAGCCAAATTAATACCAATAAAGGAAATTCCTAAATAAATGGCGCATCCGAATGCTGCCGCCGTCGCCATAACAGCCGACATGTTTCCCAGCAAACCCAGCCACGGCTTCGAGCGAACCCAGTCGCTCATCATACATGTCAATACAGAGAATATCCCCATGAGAATGAAAGTGGAACTAAAAAATGGTATCACAGTCCTTGTATTCTTTTCTAATTCGTGGTCGAGTGTTCGTGAGGCGAATCGGGAGACAGAAATGTGCTTAAAACGTCCAGTGTCTTCTGCTATGCCGACAGTGTCTAAAAACGCGTCCTCCCATGCTGCACCTCTGTAAACACAAAACATGAATGCCTATTAGGAGATTGATTGATAAATAATAAATCGTCACAATGTTCATGAAAGGAGAACCATTTTTAAACAGAGAACCATAAAAGAGAGGCCTACTTTTGCTTGGCAAAACAATAAAGAGCATAACATTTTCAATTTAAAAAGAAAATAGAAGCGTTGCCAATTTAATGTTAGACGGTTTACGTAAAGAGGTTTCTATACAAAACCGTTTTCATTAGTTTCGTATATTAAAGTGGTTTATAATTTATAAACTAAATCTTGAAAAAAAAAACACTAACACCACAGTAGTTTACAGCTGTTAATAAACTACAAATTGTGTATCGTAGTTTTTAAGTGGGTGCACATAATGCACTTTTCAATAAAACTATTGTGAAATTTACTTATAGATCTTACAAAATATTGACCCACAACTGGTTAAAGTATCTGCCGTTCCCTTCTCATACTTGTCAGTTATTACGCATTCGTTGATGGTACAGTCATCCTCAAAATATACGAAATATACGTGCACAAAGTTCCATTTAAATGTGAACAGTCATTTTGCCAAAATATTCTAATGAACTGTCGTGACGAAACGATAACATTCCATTTCTAAGTATACATCGCATTGCACCTTATAATGCAAGAATATAGTCTTCCAATGATGTATATAAATACCACTATACCAACCAAAATACCATAAATTTTGTAGAATGTGTGATGTGCGATAAGTCGGTGCTAAAAGAACGCGCCTGCTGGTTTTTGATTTGAACTGAAATTTTGATAAATATATTAGATTTTAGAAAAAAAAAACACAGTTCTATCAATATTGTCATTATTCTCATGACGTGTCATCTATAAAATTCATAGTATTATTGTTTACACATAGAAATCTAAATTCTTCACGTATACATACTTTTGAGGGTGACTGTACTCGAAACAACGCCTAAAATTGTGTCAAGACCGAGTTATAGTTATATTACTTAAGACACAATCGTGTGTTTACTCTAAGTGCATTATAGCCGCTGAAAAGAAGCAACAAGATGTTAAATGAAGCACGTAACGTTGCTACAATAAGAGAACTATAGAAACGCTGAGTGGTTTCCTTGAGAAACATAATCACTGTTACAATTACATCTTCCGTTCATAGCATGTAAGGCAGTTGGTAGCCACTGATTGTTGTTTTTAGGATTTGCCTTTATTATTTTTTATAAAAGCACAATCTGCGTTCATATTCTTGACTCAGATAAACGAATAGGTATTAATTTTGTTTTTACTCTTTTATTTATTGAATGATTAAATTATCATCGCCCTCATTCAAAGATAATATGTAGTCACTGTAATAATAGACCTCTTATTTATTAAATAGTTTAGTCTTGTTTTTGTAAGATAAAAAGTTTGCTCTCAAAACTCATAAATCTAGCTCGCACACTAATATTTTCGCCTGATTTGGCGGATCATGCAAACAAATATTTTAGTATAAGAAAAGACTATGAAATTTTGACATTTTAAAATTGGGACTTCTAGAAAACAAATAGTTTATTTTATCGTTATCTTTCTATTATTTACCAAAGTATCTATGGACAACTCATGTCTAAGAATGCTACTTGCGTCTCTACTTGCATTTTACTATTACCTCACTAGTTTTCCTACAGTCCATTCACGTTAAGAAAATAATGCTTGGAAGTTGGAACCTGATTGATCAGGGTGCGGGACTTGACCGATGCGTCGCTATTGCGTCACTATTTTCTGAACGCAAATGGACTGCAGGAAAACTAGTGAGGGAATAGTAAATATAATAATAATAATAATAACCCCCCCGGGGGATCACCTTGCCGTGGTGGGGGGGCTTACGGGTATCGGGTACTGGTTATGATCTTAACAACTCATCATTGTGTTGGGTCTCTGCTTCTGGAGTGGCCGGAGACCTGATACTAGCACCTATCCAACTAACGATCCCAAACCCATTCAATGGAGCACCTTATGGAAACTGAGAAGAAGAAGTATAATTTACGGTCGCTTCCCGGGGAGCGCCGGGGCGCATCTGGAGCCGATGCTGGGTGCCACAGCATGCGAACCATCGGTGGTGGGACGTTGAGCAGGCGGACTCTCACCAAACAATCTACTACAGCCGGTCGAGGTGAGCTGAGCAGGCGGGCTCATCGCGTAGAAGCTACAGCCGGTCGTAATGAGTTGAACTGGCGGACTCATGACGTTGAGGTCACAGCCGATTCTTCAGGCGATGATACAAAAACATTATCTTCTTCCATCCCTCAAACTTGCCTTCCATACATGACAAGAAGAACAGCAAGATTATCAAGCACTAGCACCAATAACGCGTATGCTATGCAACGCCGATCAACCGAGCGATTACCTTCACCCTCACTTAGTACCACACAGTCAGAACATTCACTCTTCTCTAATATACCATCACCGTCTTCAACCAGCTTATTTCGATCACCCACCTCATCACTATCATCTACTTGTACATATTCATCCCGAACTACAAGGTCAACGGCTGCTGTGCAGGAGGCATTAGTCACTAACCCTGTACCCACTGCTGGCCCTTCTCGTACGCGAAAGAAATGGACTGAAGATATGAACCGTTTTATATGGCGTACATACCTTTTAATAACAAACTGCGAGACTTCACAAATGAACAACTATTTAGAAGCTTTGCATCGAGAATTTGACAATAGATATCCCGACATGCATGCCACTCGACAACGATTAGGAGACCAAAAAAGAGCCATAATTAGAAGAAAATTACTGCCACAACCTGTGTTAGACGAGATAGTTTTTGAAGTAAAAGAGCAAATAGGAGATAAAACCCTTAACCATTCACAGATACATAGTCACGACGATCACACAACACGCACTAGAGCAAATGTTTTCAACAACAGTAGAATGAAATGGACGGCAGATATGAACGATGATGTTATAAGATGCTACCTTGAAGCAACAGAACTGGAGACAAATAAGACTGCCTACCGTAAAAGACTTTATGATTTGTTTTTAGAAAAACATCCGAATTTATCTAATTTAACTGAACAGAGAATAGCAGATCAAAGAAGACTAATATTCATTAATAAAACATACACTAACAGAATAAATAAATTAAAGCATGAAGTACAGTTAAAGCTAACAGATCAAAATAACCAAATTTTACCTAACCTAAACGATTCTATTACTGAACAAACACACAACACACACGAAAGCCTAATAGACTGTACACTAACACTGACTGAAACAACCACAACAACTAATGCACAGAATGAAAACATCACGATTCATAACACGGATAGTAATAATAGTTTAGATAGTAATAGGATAGAAATAGAATTTAATAAAGCTCTTACACGTTTCAATATAATTGATCCAGAAGCAAGACCATATATTCCAAAACAAAAGACGTCACGAAAATTTGCTAAAATTACTCAATTTCTAAATATCAATATTTTACCGAAACACTTAAACCACGAATTAGACTTTAGTACATTACACACCTTAATATATTCAGCAGCCTATACAGCTGCTATTTGTAACGGCACTAAATTCAGCACTGAAGATAGTATAACCACTTATAAACGGAATAGGACGCCTGCGTGGCAAAGAAGAATTGAAAGCAGAATAGAAAAATATAGATTAGAAATAGGAAGATTAACACAATACATGTCAGGAAATAGAAGTCAGAGAATACTAAAAACTGTAGAGGAAATAAAGAATAAATATAAAACTCATTCACAACACGAAGAACCTAACACAGAACCACAACATTTTCTTGACACACTAAAACAGAAATTAAACGCGACCGCAAATAGACTTAAAAGATATTTAAATTGTACTAAACGGAAACAGCAAAATGGAAACTTCATAAATAATGAAAAACAGTTTTATAGAACCCTAGGACATAATAATCAAATAACATCAAAAACTACAGAAATCCCCTCACCACAAAACCTTCATCAATTCTGGGCTGGCATTTGGGAAAACCCAGTGCAACACAACACTCATGCCGACTGGTTACAAAAAATAGCAGACACATCAAACATTAACCAAATGGAGTTTGAAAACATCCCAGTTGACACATTCATTCAGATCATCAATCGCACACATAACTGGAAGGCACCAGGCACCGACAATATACACAATTACTGGTATAAAAAATTAACCTGCACACACCCATTCGTCCACAGTCACATTTGCAAATTCATTCAATCACCGCACACTTTGCCAACATTCATAACACAAGGAATCACATACATGCTACCAAAAGGTTCAGACTCCAAAAATCCTGCAAATTACAGACCTATCACATGCTTGCAAACTATATATAAAATTATTACAAGTTGCATTAGCGAAATTATTTACAGACACTTAAATGAATACAACGTGCTGGCAGAACAACAAAAAGGGTGTAAAAAAAATAGCCAAGGTTGTAAAGAACAATTAATCATAGACTCAATAGTAATGAGACAAGCCCAAACTAAAAATAGGAACATCCATATGATGTACGTCGATTACAAGAAAGCATTTGATTCTGTCCCCCATAGTTGGTTATTATATGTATTGGACCATTATAAAATTCACCCTAGTCTCATAACATTCTTAAGCACAGCCATGCTTCATTGGAAAACTAAATTAAAATTAATAAATAACGAGTTAACCACTGACTTGATAAAAATTAAAAGAGGCATATTTCAAGGAGATGCGCTTAGCCCGCTTTGGTTTTGTATGGCACTCAACCCCTTATCTGAACTGCTAGATAGTACAAATATAGGATTTAAATTAAGATGCAATAACTCATTCCACATACTCTCACACTTACTTTACATGGACGATATTAAAATTTATGCAACTAATAACACTGAACTTAATAAACTAACTGACATTACACAATCATTCTCGACAGATATTCATATGCAATTCGGGGTAGACAAATGTAAAACTCACTCAATCAACCGCGGCAAGACAGAATACAATTTTTATACACTTGATACAGGTGAACAAATAGAACCAATGGATGAACATACGACGTATAAATATTTAGGATTCCGCCAGTCTAGACAGATTCAGCAAAAACAGACAAAATTAGAGTTAACACAGAAATTCAAAGCCAGAATAAGTCAGATTTTGAGAACCCAATTAAACTCACGCAATACCATCAAAGCCATCAACACGTATGCAATACCAGTTCTTATTTATTCGTTTGGGATTTTAGCCTGGTCCCAGAGCGATCTCATTAAATTACAGCGCACAATCAACACACACATGACAACCAATAGGAAACATCACCCCAGATCGTGCACACAACGTCTTACATTACCACGGCAAGATGGAGGGAGAGGTCTCATTGACATACAGAATCTACACAACAATCTTATAGATAAGTTACGCAAATATTTCTACGCCCAAGCCGGACAATCCCATCTTCATAAATTCTTAACCGATATAGACAAAAAATTAACTCCGTTCAACTTAAACGACACAAACATTCAACCAAAATTATTGAGCAAACAGCAGAAAATAGACTTATGGGCACAAAAGTCTCTACACGGCAGACATCTCGCCGATCTCAGCCAAACACACGTCGATAGAAAAGCGTCGAACGAGTGGCTGCGGCGCGGAGAACTCTTCCCAGAAACCGAGGCTTTTGTGATCGCTATTCAGGATCAGGTTATCGACACTCTTAACTATAAAAAACACATAATCCGTACCCCTAACCTTCCTACCGACTTATGTAGACGATGCCATAGCAGTTCCGAAACCATCCAACACATCACTGGTTCTTGTAAATCTATTGTACAAACTGATTATAAACACAGACATGACCAAGTTGCAGCAATAATCCATCAAAATCTAGCTCACAAATACTCATTTATTTCAAATAAAACTGCTTATTATAAATATAAACCCAGTACAGTTCTAGAAAATAATGCATTTAAAATATATTGGGATAGGACAATAATTACCGACAAAACCATACATTATAATAGACCGGATATAACAATACTAGACAAAACTAACAAAATAGTTTTTATTATAGACATAGCACTATGTAACACACACAATCTCCTCACGACGCACACAGAAAAGATGACTAAATACACAGACTTAGCAACGGAAATAAAAAGGCAATGGCAGGTAGATAGAGTTAAAATAGTACCCATTGTCATATCTACAACTGGTGTAGTACCGAAGACTCTTCAAGATAGCCTCAACACATTGGAAATGCCGAAATCCTCTCTCATACTCTTACAAAAAGCAGTCCTTCTTAACACATGCCGTCTCACACGCAAATTTCTCGCTTCATCCTCATCATCTTAACTTCATATCATCATCCCTTTTTGGCACACTTGGCTAAGGCCCGTGTGTTAGATTTTGTTACCCCTTTAAAATAAAAGGGAGACCAGACAAGGTATAAAATGACATAATAATAATAATCTACCACATTCACACAACGCCATCTAGTCCCAAACTAAGCAGAGCTTGTGCTATGGGTACTAGACAACTGATATAAATACATATATACTTTTTTTTTGTAAATGCATACATATTATACATACAAACACCCAGACCAAATCAAACATTAAATGTTCATGCACACAAACATTTGACTTGAGCGGGAATCGAACCCGCGACCTTTGGAATAGCAGTCCGTTACACAAACCACCACGCCATCCGGTCGTCAATATAGTTTAGTCGTGATCATATCTCGCTTTGTTATGTTTTATTTTGCCAATCAATCAATATAATCTGTGTACGGACTCTAAAGATACTATAAATTTAATAAAATTTTGTCTTACCTATCCATCTGTATCTTGTTGTCGGTTCGAACGAACCAAACGAGCTGTACTGCTGGTACTGACTCTATGACGTCATCCACGACCTTCGCACCGCCGAAGAACACGGGAAACGCGTGAGCCTCCCATGTTACGGGATTAAACATTATTGGAAATGTTAGGTTCAATTCACCACGCTCGACCTGTGTTGCACACATACAAATATCTTCGCATTAATCCAGATAAGTTAAGAGAGATACCTCATTAATTCTTTTTTTTCTTTTTTATCGTGTGGAAGCTCCCATGGGACATCGTCTCACCGGTGCTCACGGTGAAGTCATCAATCATCAAAAGCCTTAAATAGTACACTACTGGATAAAGGCCTCCCCTTAGAAAGGAGGTTTTGGCCTACTATACCAAGCTGTCCAGACGGGTTGCTTTGCAGTGCTATTGTCCTGTTAGTCGGCTCTCACACTCACAGGAAGTGGAATATAGGAATTGAATGGACTGAAACCACACAATGTTCTATCACATGTGGGTCTATTACAAGGGACTCAGGTAAACTCTTGGAGGAAGTCCCCGAGAAGGTCCTTTTTTTTTGACAGGGTGAAAAATCTCTTCGGATCTCCTGCTCCGTGGGTACTCAAGGAGTATGTGATGATTCCACTTAAAACCACCCCAATGGCCGGGCCTCAGGCGCCCTACTCTGGGAGACCCGGACCATGTGATTTCAGGTCCTATATAAATAGTCATAATAATAATCACTTCACACTAATACCACATTAGTGTCAACATTGCACCGTGCGAAGTCGGGGTCTGTCTCTAGTAGTAGATATTTTAGTCTAAAGTCATAGAATAGAGGAATAATAAAGTATTTCATCAATATTGTTTGTTATGCTTGTTAATTACAGTCAAACATGTTGCATGCTTTGCGTTGCCTATAACTACTACAAGGTTGCATTAAGTACATTTCCATGTAAAGGTTTCTCTGGTACCATTAAGGACGAACCACCCATTCAATCTAACAAAACGCTTATCCACTACGCATCTCGCACTGACAAGGATGCTTAGAATATAAATGATAAATGACACATTGTCACTATAAGTTGATAATCATAGTATTTTTTTAATAACGATATATCAGTATTGTAATTACAATAACAATAGAATTCCGATTTCATAAGTATGAAGGTAATTCTAACCGTATATTTGCCTAATATTATTGCAGTAACTGAAAGTTACACTGTTACAGTTGCGCACACTGGTATTTTGTCATTGTTCTTTTTACAACTACGATGACTGCTAACTGACTAAGGTACATTATTCTTTACAAGGGTCTGACATAATTGGGTGTGCTTATGTATGTACATATTATTATGAAATGTGCCCAGCTACAATAAAACAAAATCTCACCGACAAATACTATTGCACATATGGGTAGGTATATATTGTGGTCTCTGTATTATGAAATCGTATTATTTTAGATAGTGAAATGACAAAAAAGTGAAATTACTTCTTATACTTCAGACAAGCTATCAATAAGTTTATATGCTTTTAGGTGTGTCGCTGGGGACTTTACAGATATGCATGAAACGGACACAAAGAACACCCAGGCTAAGAACAACAATTTGTGGATCACACAAATTGTTGTCCCATCTGGGGATCGAACTCACAACACTTGACGCAGTAGGAAGCGGCGAGATGACCGCTTAAACTACAACGCCATCCGTGCAGTCGAATAGATCTGTCAGACTCGAACCGGCAAAAAAAAAACCTAGTTTTTCGTCATTAAATCTTATTGCCGGGTCTTCAGGCGTACCATAGAAGATGTATATACGTGCACATAGGAACATACATTCCATCACTAGAATAAGGGTAATCAGAGGCGTATGCAGCACCTACGATTGCCGTTTATTATATTAATCCCACGGACGTAATATTACGTATATTACGACTGGAAGAACAACAACAACGTCAACACTTCAGGAATGAGATGAGAAAATTAGGAGTTCAATATGTAAAGAAAAAGCGGTAAAATGGATTTATAGCACAATGAAAAGGCAAAAGGAAAATGATTTTGCTTAGACAAATGGATTAGGCAGTGTTAGCCACAGCTTAAGTAGAGCAGGGTCGCATAGGTAACCATAGATACTGACTGTTACCGGACTCTCCGAGCCCTATCCGGCATGGCCAAACAACGCCTAAATTATATAGCTATTCACAAAAATAAACTATAAAAAAGTATTAGAAAATATCTATTGTTAGAAAAACTTTACAGAAATAGATTATTCTTCCATGTTCAAGATTATCAGTTCGTTTCTTTGCTGAAATCATTTCGATGAGTATAAAGATGAAAGAATATTTATTTCGTGTATACATATATGTTTATAATATAACTTTAGTTCAAATTCCTCCTAACCTAACACGCAGAAACGAGGTTATCCTCAATGTACCTGTGTAAGCTGAATATCTAATGACAATGTCGGTAAATAAGCAGTACTCGGGACTTGTGGTCTGCGGTTCAAAGGCAAAATCGTGCTAGTAGAGTTTGTAACTATCCATTGTTTAAAATATTTTGTTTAATTTTACTGATTCATTACAAAGCGATTCCCTTCCCTTGAGTCAGACAATTATAAAGAATTCGCTGTGAGTGTAAAACAGTTGTCAAAACAGTATTGATGAGAGTTTCCTTATTGTGATAATGTCATTGACACGGTTTGCCATTGGGAACGATGCCTACTGCAATAAAAAGTGTATTGCGAATGGACGTTTTATAGTAAAATATTTCTAGAGGATCAGAAAAGAATTTGAATAGCTAATAAGCATTTTCGTAATTTTTGTTCAGCTTTGTCTTTGTGTTTAGAAATACAGTGTCAATGTTCCATTTGATGTTCTTAATGGTGTCTCCAGGTTTAACGGTATCAATTGCCTATAATACTTGTAAATGACATATGAAGCACGATGTCTTTTCCACTCAAATGTTTTATTAGTTGTATTACCAGTATTTGATGTAAGGACAACATGAAAACTTAAATTCGAGCAACATGCGATCTCTTGTATCAATAAATATAAAAATTAACTTGCTTCTGTCAATGAATCATAATCAAAATTATATTACTATAACGCCTTATAAACAAAACGATATTAATACATGTGAGAAAAATATGGAACACACTACTAAAAGGCAGTTAATAAGTTCTTGCTTTCAAGAAAGTTTTCAAAGAGAAAGTCCTAGAAAATGAAATCAGGTGGGAGTTATTTACGTATGTATGTGGGACATTTTCGTTGGTCTACATAAAGTTTTACTTGGCACCAATAGACACATGCCGAGGTCTAGTTATATTATCGTTTTATCAAATATTAGTATTATAAAATGTTATTTATTTCTTAAACAACTATTACAAGCCGTTATTATTAAACTTAGAAATAGGGAAACGTCATTTGCTGTTAATCTATATAGGTTTAATAAGGAATAAAACTTTTAAAACAAAATCATGTCATGGTAAGAAAAGTAAATAAACGAAGATGCAAGCTAATCCTTTTCAATAAGGCGATAATCATACAAATAAATAACTTAGTAACTTTTTTAAAAATAAATGATGAATGAATTTAAGGTCAATTAATTAAGAATTTATCAAAGCCCACAATAATGTATAAGCAATTTATTTTTTCTGTAATTCGTTGCTTCGCTAACTAGTTTCAGTTTTATAAAGGGCACAAAGGCTAGTCGCAAAGTTTAAAAAAAGAGGTACTGGACACGTTTTAATAAAACGACTTTTGTTCCGTATAAACTTATGTACTTATGTACAGAAACAGAAACTTAAATTCAAAGGTAATTACGAGTATATCAACGTGGGGAGCCTTATGCGTGGTCGCAAGCGTAGAACACAATGACAGATTTGATACCGTTTAGGAAGAAGGATATAATTATATTCCTTATTGCTTCTATAAAAGGTTGCGGAGAAAATAAAAACATGACTTAGGCGGTACGGCAGTGGTTTACTAGACTAAAATCAGTTTACTAAAATCACACATCGCCTATTAGGTTCTCGCTCAGTGTAGTTGTATATGTACATATAAATGTTTCTAAGCACTTCTACACAATATGTTTGTATTTACAGCAGTATTTAAGTGCTTTTATCCAGTTTCTAGTATTAACACTACATTAAAATTATTTCGGGTCTAGAAAGAGCTGTTTAATGTCTCCCAGAATTTTATTATTAATGCACATGGCAGACAGCCGTATATATGATTTAGGAAAAATAATATAGTGCATATCATTGGAAAAAATTAAAGGACTAATTTAAAAAATGTACCAACCGTACCGCTAACGGCCGTGACGCCCATCACGCAAGCATGTATATGATACACGGATGTGAGAGGCAAAGCTCTTTGAACTTCAACAAAAAATCAGTCATAAATTTTTTGTAGTAGGCTTTTCTGAGACGAGTGTATTATTTATTATTGAAGTGTTTACTGTTTCCTTAGTTCAAAATTATTTTCTATATGGCATTTGAACATTGTTTAAATAAATGTTTTCCTCAGAAAGTTTTGATGAGATCTGTGTTTACACTTACAAAACACAAATGTTTCTTTTTCTATCAGAGCCTTCTAGAAGCTCATATTTAGACAATCACAACAATATATTTAGAGTAGAACTTTTAGTGCCATGACAAAGAATTCGCTTGTAAAACGACATTTTTCAATTAAAATTTAGTTATTAGTTAATTTTATTTATTCGTCCCCTAATGTGAATAAATCGGATAGAAAATAAAATGACTGCACGGATGGGGTAGTGGTTTAAGCGGTAGCCACGCCAATACGCTGAATGTTATGGGTTCGATCCCCACATGGGACAACACTTTGTGTGATCCACAAAGTCTGGGCGTTCTTTATGTATGTTTATAAACGCGTAGGCGCATTTCAGGCTTAATTTCAGGCATAAAAGTTGGTTTTATATACTCATACATTTGACACCAAGAACCTGTTGTGTATTGCATATACCAAACATGTAAAACAGTCTAGAAACTGATCTACGATATTAAAACTCATCCTTACCTCACCGATAATTTTGTCCAAGTTTAAAATGTCGTTGGTATAGCATTGTCCCTCCCAGCGCGCGCACTCTTCCTTGTAAGAAAACGTTTCACCATTCGGTAGAGTAACAGTCATATTCTGTACAAGGTCATCCAACTGCCTCAGCTCCTTCCAGACTTCTGTCCGAAGCATGTTAGTGTTGTTGTCTTTCGATACAATAATAACTCTACCAAAACGTCCTGCAAACAAGTAAGGGCGTGTAAGAAAAAAAAACATACGACGTCAAATACATTTTTTTTGTCAATAAAGAACTAAAAATCGTCGTTCTTCTTAACTGACTAATTTCACACCTTGGTGTGTTACTAACATATAACTGGTTACTAAGGTACTAATAAAATTCACGAAATTACAAGCCGTTTTTCGTTATGTTACATTGAAGAACTCTTGGTTTGGCTATCTCCTTTTATGTGTTTATATAAATACTCATGCATAACGCTTTTAAGAAAATAAAGAACACTCGATCATTTAAACTTAATCCTGGATATCCTGAATAAGTTAGAAGTAGAATATCACTTTCAGATCGATTTCTAAGGACGTACAGCTAATTCCAGCGCCAATTCTTGGCGCTCTGACTTACAAAGAACGAACCTGATGCAGGTTACTAAGACTACACACGTTAAAAGAATTGCCACAATAAAAATGATAAACACTGATGCTGTGTGGTTTAGATATTCGAACCCACTTTGCTAGTCTTTTTGGAGTTGTGTTCATTTGCCAAGTTTATTAAATAATAGAAAGGCATTAATCTTATATATAAAATTCTCGTGTCACAATGTTCGTTCCCGTACTCCTCCGAAACGGCTTGACCGATTCTCATGAAATTTTGTGGTCACATCGGGTAGGTCTGAGAATCGGCCAACATCTATTTTTCATACCCCTTAATGTATTTGTTCAACTTACCAGCTCGTGTAATTCTGCCTACATTAAACCTATGTGAATAGTTGACTTTGAAGTTTTCCTCAACGATTTTTCTTTCAACTTTTCCTTGACCGCTGACGGGTGAGAACAGGTACTCTGGATCCATTTCATAATTGATTCTTTGGTAACCGGTGATCATCACCATTGAGAGCAGTATCGGTATAATGATGAAGTACCCCGGTTGCTTTCCGACCATTAAGCCTAGTTTGTAGAAGGATTTGTTTAATACATCATCCACAATTGTGATGCGGCAACCCATCTGGAAACAATAAAGAAATAAAGTTAACTTTGGCATGCGTAAGATTAAGAGACTAATGTGAATGTTTTACTGATGATAGCTACTTTTCCTTGACATTTTCCGCACAATTTCCTTGAATAAATTGTATGTTGATGACTGAAGGATAAGCAGCCATTGTCGATTTAGTACAGTCAAAACGTTGGCTGGTATATTGATCCACCAACTCATTTTTACAATTAACTCTGAACAAATTGGTTTTATAACATATGTTAATAATTTGAAAATAACTCCGTTTCAATTTAAAGTAAAAATAAAACTTTTTCTTTACTTTAACATGAAGCTGAGAATTAACTTTGTTGATGTTGATTACATTTCAAAGTGAAAGAAAATTTTCCTTCTGTCATAATTTGTTAAAGTTTTTTTGGTTACTGTTAGTGTAGTGGGTAGTTTTTAAATTAAATTTTCGCGCGAAGGACCAATCATCTCGAACTAATGTTGATATTTTTACGTTTGAGATTTATTTACATCAAATAATATAGAACAGTTACTCAATGCCGTGTAGCATTTTCTTATCTTGCCTTGTTAGCAACACATAAAATTAAGTATGCAATTTGTCTTCTGAGACGATTCAGAATATTTAATATAAGTCTGGGAGAGAAACTCTAAATTACAGTGCAATATAAACCGCAGTAAACTACTGCTGTGCGGTAAATGATAACGATCATTCCACAATTGAGAGCACTACGTACAATTTTCATCACGATGTTCTTACCGCTAAATTAAGTTCGGGTCCATTCAAAAATGAGTTACGCAAACCTTGGTCAAATTTGACACACTCAGTTGTCAAATTGACGTCATTGTCTCTAAAAGGAACGACGGAATTCTTTATGTTATTTGTTCCGGTATCCGGTACAACAAGTGGGTTTGTATTTGCTATATACTGGTAATGGTTATGGTAAAGCAGTATCTAATCTCTTTGACCACTTTTTACTTTATGATTTTTCCTTTAAACGTATGTATTAAACAGAAAATCCACTTCGATTTATATGCCTGCAATCCTGACCCACTCAAGCAACATTACTTCTTTACCTACCTTGTTGTCTAACCAACTTTTCCTTTCATATTGAATTCCTAATTTTTTCATCTAATGTCTAAAGTGACCTGTTGACAATGACTTGCCCCCAATGACCCCATTACGTGAGTTTGATCAGAATTGCAGTCGGCAATATAAGAGCGTTTAAAACGTCTCTGCTTACTCCTTTTGGAATATAGGTATAAGCTTATTATTTTTGTGGAACAAACGGGTTTCCTGATGGAAAGTTACTACTACATCTTAAGAGTCACAAGTGAGTGTCCCTCTAAGTATTAGTGGAAAGGGTGAGGTTGGGCTCCAGTTACCTCCGGCTAGAGCATGGCTCCTTAACGACAGCTGACAAAAATTTTAGTCACTAATGTTTTTTAATTAAATGCTCTCGTTGTAATTCAATGGTGCAAAAAGTATAGTATAGAAAGCAACCGATTCACGCTGACGGTTTAGACATTCTTTTGTTTGTGTATAGTTTGCAACATGGCGGTAAGAAATGAGTTACGTAAATACAATTGTTATAACATTTTTGCGAATGTTGAATGAATATACATACTTGAATGTACATACATACATCTTGTAACAATTCATCTACGTAAATCGAATGTCTAATCAAAGTTGATGAATAGTACTTGTCTAGATTTTTTACAGCTCTTCATTTGTAGATAACGGTGCCGTTGCGGTCAGGGTATGTAATCACGTGTTATGATTTTTGCGAAATTGCTTCAGTGCTTGTGTAAACTTGTGGGTTTTTAATGGTGTATTTTTAGAAAAACGAGTACTTAATTAGTATGACTGTTTAATGACATGATGGTAATGACATGGGTGAAGATATCGCCAGGAAAATGCCAATGACATGCGAACTAATTTTATATTTTTATTTCTAATTTAAAAATTTACAAAATATAATTCATCTAAAAAACATTAGAGTGGCTTTTGACAAACGGGGATACCGGGAACTTGGAAAGTTAGACATGGATATTAAAAAAACATTTAAAAATAAAGTGTGAAAAATAAAGACTGTTTTTTTTTTTTGATGGAGTTACTTAATTGTACTTTCTCTATACATGATATTGCATCACATTTTTGGCGCATATTGTAGACCATCAGGACGGCGTAAAGCGCTAACAATGTTCTCTTCTCTATCTAAATCTTATTTCTAACTGAGATAACAATTCGCAAGAAAAAGGGCTGCCAGGATTGAAACGATACCTAAAACATGGAAATAAAAATATTGAAATTAAAAAATGTTTTGAAGTTAAGTCAAAGTCTCCGAAAGGCATTACATTTCATGGTTTATGATGCAAAGAACATACATAAATTGCGTTTAGTTGCATTTAAAAAGTATCTTTAAAAAGTGATATTAATTTTAACACATTTAAAAACAGGTTTGCTAATGAGGTTTATGATAAATAGGAATTTAAAGATAGTGAGTTTTGTTTCCCTTCCTTTTGTAAAGGTACAAAGTTCGCTTTGGAAGTACTTAATTACTATTTAATAGTAAGTGGAAACATTAGAGGATAGTAATAAATAGAAAATATTTAGGTCGGTCACTGACCTCTGCAAACAAATTTTAATCTATTGTATATGGATATGTAATAGGATAAGCTTGCGGATCTCATTGCACAGATTATTAAGAAAATCACATCTCATATTCTTATTTTTCTCGAGAAGTAGTTTCTAAGAAGTCCTACAGTCGTTCATTCTATGCATAACTAATGATGTATGTGTAATGTGTATATTCTATATTATATTAAATGCTTTACTTATTGATTAAAAGTAGTGAAACCTTTTAAGTTGTCAGTAATTACAATGTTCAATTGTAATTATTGTCAATTTAAAAGGTTTCATAACTTCATGTACCTTTTGGTTATATGTTCGACGGTGGCCATAACATAGTAAAACTTGGTTGCGTAAATAAATTTATCAATGACAGATATTTTTAATTACCAAAAAACAGAACTACAAAAGTTCATCGTACCGCTCTGAAATTCACAATACAAAAAATGTCAAAGCCACATTAGGTTTTCAATTATTTAATTTATTTAGCACAAAAAGAAGGGCGTCGCCGTGAATAAGTCCGCTGCCAGAAAAATAAAAAACATCTAGTTTGGCTGTCTAAAAAGCAAAACGGCCAATATAAAAACTATTTAATCTAGCACGGAGGCCACCTGACCAATCTGACGGTCGCTGACTTTCTTCTCCAGACTCATTGCGACACCAACTCGTAATCGTTGCAATAGTTCAATCGTTTTTATAAATAACGCGAATTATAAGCAGACGGGATATAAGGTCAAATGAGTTGAAATATTAAATATTAGACGTTCACGGAAAACGAGTTAGGTGACTGTCATGATTCCAAAATCATCCATTTTTAATAAGAACCAAAAACAATTTTTTGGTAATACTTTATACGGACTCTTTTTGATTGTCCTTTAAAAGTTACAAGGGTTTTCGGTAAGAAATATTTAGAGAAAAAGTTATTTAATGCACTAAATGTTATAGTATATTTTCCGATGATCTCAAAAAAAAGAGCATTTTAAAATAATAACGTTTTTATTAAAACCTTCTTAAAATTATTCAAAAATGTAAGAATTTCGTCAAATCCGAATCGGGAGCCACTAGAGCAAGTTGGGATGTTAAGATACATGAACATATTTTGACAAATCGGATCGGACGAATCGGACAAATTGATGCGGAAATATTTGGTTTTCTCCATGATATCCGTGTTTGTAAAGCACTTAATTTTCAGCTCGTTTTCGTCCGCATATAATTTGTATTCGTGCAATAGCCGCAATACAAATAAATTTAATTTTAGATAATTTTTATGTATGAAAAATATAGGTCAAATTAACACAGATTTGTTAAATAATTAATATAAATTAATTAACCAACGAATTTTAATACGCTAATAAAAATAAAACACGTGAATGATACATCACGTGGTGTATGACACAGTTTTTGAAAGCTTCTTTGTACGCAGGAGCAAAGACACGTTACCTGGTTCCCCGGCTATTAGTACCCGAGACGGCGTGCGGTTATAGTCGGTTCGAGTCCGACATGCCACCGATGGGTGGTATCCGAGGGGATTTCCGCACGGAAAAAAAAAGGAGCAAAGACACGTGATAGCATAGAGGAGACGAAGATTACAGAAAACACAGTTTACTTACTTGTAATCTATTGCATTCTCTCGAAGACTAAATCCTATTTATTAATATGTCTCCTTTTACTGTCGCTTTTAATCTTAACGGTGCTAAAGAAGTTTAATTTTAAAATAAACCGTGTGGTGACGGATTAAGAATAGGGAATGTCACCACTCCTATTAATCTCGCGGATGTCGCAAGAGGCGACTAAGGGCGCAAAACAACGCAGGACACCAGCACTGCAAAAAGAAGGAAAACTTGATACAATCCCTATACCAACCCGTCTGGCCAGCGTGGTATAGTAAGCCTAAACCTCCTTTTCTAAGGAGAGGCCTATGTCCAGCAGTGGTCTATTAAAGGTTGTTGTTGATGTGACGTGATGAATGATTAAATCTTTAAAACAAAAAGTGTTAAGGTATATCTTATTATATTTATTTTCTAGTTGTTTCTCTCGTAAAATAATGCACTACGACCTTATAATGATTGGTTACGTGTTTGTTTTACATACTCGAACAAATGTACATATGTATGTCACTACATAGATTAGGTGGTATTTTTTTGAATACTTTATAGCTTTTCTATTATACCAATGGTCATCCAGAAGATTTTAATCTCAATACAAAGGTCTCTGTCAATAATAGTAAAATACTTTTTCTACATATTATTATTACTAACACGAAAATTCATCAATCCCAATCCTTATTTGTTTTCACGCCAGCAGGTCATCGTGAAATTTTGTTTAAGATTCAAAAAGGGAACCATAAAAATAAAAACTATTGTTTCCGAGGAATAGA